CTCTAACTTTCCCTTCACGATTTGGCAGCCTTGAAAATGCTGGGGAGGGTTCTGCTTTGCCTATGCTGAAATCTGTCAGACTTGCTTTGGGGATACTTGCGTCTGGGAAATCATCTTTGGATGGTTTCTCGGGTGTGGATACTCAGGTTCTGTAATATTTTTGATCTATATTGGATGGAAGTTTTGTGTTCATCCTTTATGAATAATTAAAATATATTTCATTTCTTGTGATGCCTTGCAAGTAGACGATGTGGCAGTTGGTCAAATCATGTTGGATATTGCATATCAGCTGCAAGAAAAGAAGGGTTGCACCCATTGCTGCGCTTTTGTCTTCTGTGTTACATTCTTCTTTGTTTAGTAATAAAGACATGCACATAGCTGAAGATGGACATGGTCCACTGAAGTGGGTATGCATTAATCCTTCCTAATTAAATTAATTGAGGGAACCGAAGAGAAAAAATGTGTTTATTTGCAATGTCTTGTTTCACAGTTTGTTGAAAAAGTACTTGAGGAAGGTCAAAAAAGTCCACGCACAATTCGCCTTGCGGCCTTGCACCTATCAGGACTCTGGCTCATGTACCCAAGGACGATAAAGTACTATATTAAAGAATTGAGGCTTCTGACGCTCTATGGTTCTGGTCTGTACTAGCTTTTATTTCTCTTAAGCTGTTATTGCAATGACTTTGTGATATTGAATTGCTAACTGTTTTACTATGATTTTAGTTGCATTTGATGAAGATTTTGAGGCTGAATTGTCTGACAATACTGATGCAAGAACTGAAGTATCATTATTGGCCAAAAGCCCAGACCCTGAACTGACAGAAGTAAGATTTCAGTTTTGACAGATCATGGATTGATAGATTTGCTAAATTATTTTGCTCTGACAGGTTCTGTATTTTTCCTCAGCTTTTTATCAACACGGAGTTGTATGCACGTGTCTCTGTCGCTGGTCTGTTTCAGAAGCTGGCTAATTTGGCCTATATGGTTGAACCAGCAAGTCAAAATCAAGATTGTCAGGATGCTCTTGTGGCTGGAAAATTGTTTCTATTGGAGCTTCTTGATGCAGCGGTATTTATTTTTTGTTAGTTTTCACAAAATATTGCTAAACAACTAGCAGGCACGACAATATGCTGAAAATCTAATTATAATGATATGCACAGGTGCATGATAAAGACTTGGCAAAGGAGCTTTACAAGAAGTATAGTGCTGTAAGTGTTGCATGTCTTTCCTTTGTGTTCCTTCATTAAGTTTTAGATGGACACTTGGTAAAGGATAAATCTCTACAAGTGACAGACCACTTTGACAGTAATTTCTGGTTTCTATAACAGATCCATAGACGGAAAATACGTGCTTGGCAGATGATATGCATTATGTCGCGATTTGTCAGCAATGACATTGTTGGCCAAGTTATGGAAAGTGTGCACATATGCTTACATGTAAGTTTACTAGAACAGACTGAAGTTAGTAGCCCACACATTTATGCATGAGAAACCAACCATTCAGACAGAAACTAATATAGGAAAAGATTGCTGCGTTGATGACTAGACAAGTGTCGGTGACTGCTATACAAGTTTTTGTTTGTCGAGTTAAATGGAAAGCTGATTGTTTGTGTGTTTTGTTTGCTTGCAGAGAAATAACCTGCCTGCTGTTCGACAATACCTGGAAACATTTGCCATCAACATTTACCTGAAATTTCCAGCATTGGTATCTAACTTTTCTATGTATTTCCAAAAGTAAATTTGTAATCAAACTATAAACCGTTGCTGTCCTAACGGGCTGTGTTATTACACATTTTTTATTTATCTCTGAAGTAACTACTATTTGGTTGTTGTATCACAGGTGAAAGAGCAGTTAGTTCCTATACTAAAAAATTATGACAGTAAAGCTCAGGTAAATTACGCAAAACTTAGATGAAAGTATTTGGTATGAGTTTTCTGTTCAGTATATTGATAGATGTTCTCTTGTAATCTGCAGCAAGCTCTCTCGTCCTATGTCTTTGTAGCAGCCAATGTCATCCTCCATGCCGAAAAGATAGCTCAACAGACACATCTGAGAGAACTTCTTCCACCAATAATACCGTTACTAACTTCTCATCATCATAGCTTACGTGGTTTCGCTCAGGTTGGTCTTATATAGATGCCATCTTTGTCTTCTTTCTGGTAGTTCATACTAGCTTCTTTCTGTTTGGCAGTTATTAGTGCATCGAGTACTCTTTAGACTGTTTCCCCCTGTGGAGTCCACATCCTCTCATACAATATCCCTGGAGAAACTTTCTTTTGAGAATTTGAAGTCTTACCTGGACAAGAATCCTGATTGTTCAAGGTGCGTGGTTCTACGTAGTGTGATTAGAATTTTAATATGTTGGTCATAGAATAATCTTTTGTGGACAAAGCCATCTAGAAGGTTTTGGCTTACTACACAAATTCAGTTGTGACTTGTCTCTCCTGGTCTAGATTGCGAGCATCGATGGAAGGATTTCTTGATGCCTATGATCCCAGCACATCTGCTACTCCAGCTGGTGTTTTCGTAAACCGTGTTGAGGTAATAGTGCAATCTTCAAGTTGTTCTTGCACCAATGGGCTAATTGAAATATTGAGACATTTCTGAATTTTACCATAATGCCAAGTGACCGCAATATTGAGATTATTTTATTGTGGGTTCCTACTGATCCTTCAACATTTGGCTGTTTTAATTTCACAAAGCTGCTTTCGTATTTCAATACAATTTTACTTTAAGATAATTTTGTGAATGTTGTGCGCAGGAAAGTGAGTTTGAATGTGTTCCAACATGCCTCATGGATAACGTGCTCTCTTTTCTGAATGTAAGCAAATAAAGATATTTAAGAATCTTTTTCAGTTTTTTTTCTGTCTCTCTGCCTTATCTTCACATCTTGCAGGATGTAAGGGAAGATCTCCGTGCTTCCATGGCAAATGATGTAGTTACCATCAAAAATGAAGGCTTCAAGACTGATGAAGAGCCCAACCGTCGGTTGATCATGTCAACGACAGATGAAGAAAGGCTTTCTGAGCCATCTTCGTTGGATTTCCAGAGGAAGATCACTCTTTCCAAACATGAGAAGCAAGATGCTAGTTCAACTTCTGTGCTCCGAAACGGGGAAACTTACAAGCGGCTCTTTGGTATGCAAATATTATATAGCTATTCCTCTCGATATTATTATTTTGTAAACATGATTATGTACCAATTCAAGTAAGTTTTCAGAAATGGAAAAAGAAGATGAGCTCGTGACTCAGCTCTTACGATCTAGAAGTATGGAGGTCGAAAGGTTGAAATCTGGTCGACAGAGTTTGATCCTTGTGGCTTCATTGGTTGATCGTATTCCTAATCTTGCTGGATTAGCCCGGACATGTGAGGTATAGCTATTACTTTCTTTGTGTATTTCCTTACCATTTCTGCAATTCAAGGAAGCAAGAAAAAGCTAAGAGTCTTGTACTTGTATCTAGTTCAGCGTTAACATCCACTCTCTGCATCTTTTACAGGTGTTTAAAGCATCAAGTCTTGCTGTTGCAGATGCAAACATAATACATGACAAACAGTTCCAACTAATTAGGTATGGTTATATATTCTAGTCATCCTTGTATCATCGAAGGACGGTGCAAGAGTTTACACGAGTTTTTCTTTTTTTCTTTTCTTCAGTGTGACTGCTGAAAAATGGGTTCCAATCATGGAAGTCCCAGTGAACAGTTTGAAACTGTTCTTGGAGAAGAAGAAACGGGAAGGCTTCTCAATATTGGGACTGGAACAGACAGCGAATAGCGTTTCACTTGACAAATACCAATTCCCAAAGAAAACGGTAAGTTGATGGGAAAACACAAGAACATAGGTCATTTGCTCTCACTTGTCACTTTCCCATAGAAACTAAACGGATCTCTCTGTTGTTCCAAAGGTTTTGGTGCTGGGTCGTGAAAAGGAAGGCATCCCAGTGGATATAATCCATATACTGGACGCTTGTATCGAGATCCCACAACTTGGAGTTGTTAGGTCCCTCAATGTTCATGTCAGCGGTGCCATTGCCCTCTGGGAATACACTCGGCAGCAACGCATTCAATAGTCTCAAAATTTATATGTTTGCGAGTACCTCAAGGAGCTTTTGAAGCAAGTACGCCTGAGAAACATCTTCAAATCTCCTTGAGCTTTTTGTTTGGCTAATTACACCATCATGAACTTTGTTTAACTTCTTTGAACCCAATGATGATTAGTTCACATAATCTTTCATCGCAAGATTGATACATAGTTTGTAATCGGCATACATGATAATGAAAAGTTCTAGTTTGAGGGAGAACGAGAGAGAAAAATATTTCAATACATTCCACAGTGAATAAATTGCTAAAGCAATTACACATACAATCAAAAACCTAACCCTGGAAAGGGAAATGTATCAACCAGGACAACTATTAGCAGAGAAATCAAAGCCTTGCGCGTTTCAAATTAATACATGGTGCAACTGATCCGTTAGTTCCTTTGCTATGATAGCTTTAGTAATCTCTTTCTTCATCTTTTCTCTCCTCTGTTTCCTCATCTCCATGATTATCTTCTGCTTCTCTTTCCCTTCTATAGTGTTTCGTTTTTGAGCTCTATTGCGTTTATATATGTTCCGAATAAGCTCAGGTTTGCCTCTCACGAAGTCATCATCTTCAAATTCCCTTTGCTCAGAGTCAAGTTTCCTAAAACCGTATCGGTCAAGCAACTTGGTAAAGAATGAGAAATTGTGACCAGAGCCAATATCGTGGTGGCCAAAGCCAAAGAATCTCGGTAAAACATCACTGGAAAGTTCAGGTGGATTCCAAACGATGAAACTCTTGCCACTCTCGCTCCACGAGATCACTGAACCCGACCAAGGATGGGCCTTTTTGTTTTTTAATTAGATTAAGTGAAGTAGAGATGATTAAAAGAAATGATCAAGAATAATCTGAGGAAACATTGTTCAAATCTCGTCATATTACATTTGGTAAATTCATCTCCTAATTACAACAAAAACAAAGAAAGCAAGAAAATCTTTGTTATCACTTCTTTGAAGAACCCAATGACTCATCATCATCATTTTTCCAAGCTGCTTGCCATTGCTTATCATATAATGTAGTCTCATCAAACAAGTTCTTGAGTTTATCCACATCCTCATTCTTACGAATGAACAAAACTCCAGCCACAGCCACAAACAAGAGTGTCTTGCAGAAGAAATTCCCCATTTGATCGACAAGTCCTACTCCGGTAAGACTATCGACAAAGTAAGCCATAAAGAATCCTATCATCGCAGCACGACCTACAAAAGTAACATCTTAGATAAGTGTTTTTGAGTTACACTAGATTGATCTTTTGATGATGAAAACACAAACCATTTAAGAGTTCAGCTTCAGGTAAGTGGTATCTCTTAATCCAAGCCCACCATGGAATAATCGACGTATCGAAAAGCACTGGTTCGTCGTTACTCGTTGTTTCTGGATTCTCTTCTAGCCATTTTCTTCTCTTTGCCTCTTCCAAAAACAAAAACATTAACATCAAAATTCAAATTTCGATTTCATCAACATTACTAGTGATTAGAGCCAAAACACAAAAAAATTCGAAGATCTAAATCTAACCAGCAACAATTACAGAATCCCAATCGGTTTTTCCATCTTTCTCGAACTGTTTCAAATCCCATGTTCCATTAATCCATCTCGCATCCTGGAATTTGATAACCGTCTCCGTCGTTTTCATCTCTTCACCTTCGACGGCGACATTTTTGGCGGCGGTGATTTCTTCCTTTTTAACCGCCGGTGTTGATTGCGGAGGCTCTTTCACTATCACCTCCACAGGCTCAGGAGCCTCCACGGCGGTGGCGGCGGTGGGAGAGGTTGATCCACTGTCGGAGGAAGCTCGACTGACGGAGAGGAGAGAGAAGCGGTTAGTGGAGAGGAGAGAGAATGAGAATTTGGGGATGAAATTGGGATTTTGAAGAGAAGAAGAAGAGATTGGCGGGGAGAACAACGCCATTGTTATGCTTTCTTCTTCTTCACTTGAGAGCTCAACTAGTGGTTCTAAATAGACTTGTTATCGTCGAAGAAGTAACATGTCTGTCGTTTCTTTTTCCGAAATAGAAACTACGTAACGTTTTTTGCCATTCTACACAAAGAAACTGAGTATTCTCTTCATGGGCTCGTATTAAAAGCCCATCCCAAGATTTTGGAGTGTTCTGAGAAATTCCACGTGGCTTCTGGAATCGTAACTTGAGGGTATTATTGTCAAATCAGTGGATAATGATTAATATTGACTTATTTGACCTGTATAAATATATGGAAAGTCTTCCATTTTGGGGAATCGCATTTGTCTTCTCTGAAGCAACAAATTTAGCTCAACAATGGAAGCGTTCTCTTCCTTCTTTGACTCTCAGAATCGTAGGCGTTGGAGCTATGATTCTCTCAAGAACTTCCGTCAGATCTCCCCGGCCGTACAGAATCATCTTAAACGGGTTAGTTTTTTGTATCCGATTGATTCTCGTCTTTCACGCAAAATCCAGATTCGTGAGAAGATTGATTGGAATTCGTTTCGATTGTGTTTCAAGTTTTCTAGGGTTTGATTCTCGTTTTTGTAATGCGTGCCGCTGATAATTTCTACGATTCGTTTCTTGATCGTTGGTTTCTATCGCTTTGTTCTTGGATGGTGAAAATAAAATTGAGTTTGAAAAAAAAAAAAGAGTGGATTTTTCTTCGTATTGGTGCTGATATAGTGATGGAGTGTACTCAGTGTAGTTGATTCTATGTTCGTTGTGAAAAAAAATTGTAGGTTTATCTGACGTTATGCTGTGCTCTTGTTGCATCTGCATTTGGAGCTTACCTCCATATGATCTGGAATATTGGTGGAATTCTCACTACTCTCGGAAGCTTTGGAAGCATGATCTGGTTGCTTTCAACTCCTCCGTATCAGCAATCATGTGGGTTTCATTACTTACACTTGTTGTTTGAAGATGTGTCACAGTTTATAGTTTTACAATCTTCTTTCATTAACTCTAATTGTTTGCTTTGATGCAGCAAAGAGGCTTTCCCTTCTGTTTCTCTCTGCTGTTCTTCAAGGTGCTTCAGTTGGTCCTTTGATTAAAGTGGCCATTGATGTTGACCCAAGGTAATTGTTTCTAGTATGCTTTGTTCATGTCCTCTTACACAATCCCAAATCTAATGTCTCTAGGAGCTGACAGTTGGATGTTTGTTTTCCAGCATCCTGATCACTGCATTTGTGGGAACAGCAGTGGCATTTGTGTGTTTCTCGGTTGCAGCAATGTTGGCAAGGCGTAGAGAGTACCTTTACCTTGGAGGTCTGCTTTCTTCTGCTCTGTCCATTCTTATGTGGCTGCAATTTGCCTCTTCCATCTTTGGAGGCTCAGCATCTGTCTTCAAGTTTGAGGTAAACTGTATTCAATACCTAACAAGGGGAGAGTTTTGTTTGTATGTTCTTCATCGAAATACGTAAGCTCGTCCTCTAATTATCAACATTGTCATTTGCAGCTATATTTTGGACTGTTGATCTTTGTGGGATACATGGTGGTGGACACACAAGAGATAATCGAGAAAGCACACCTAGGTGACATGGACTATGTGAAACATTCTCTGACCCTTTTCACTGATTTTGTTGCTGTGTTTGTTAGAATTCTCATCATCATGGTAAGTTCCTTACTTTAACCCTTGATGTGTTCAGTGTTATCTTTAATGGCTCTATCTATAGATAACAACACATAAATATCCCCTATCGTTTGTGCAGTTGAAGAACTCTGCTGACAAGAAAGAGAAGAAGAAGAAAAGAAGAAACTAAAACCACCAAAACAGAGTGTTTAAACGAGCCATCCTCTGTTTCCACTTTCCCCTCTGACTCTGTATTTGCTAGTGGATCTCTGTTATGACTAATACAACAAAATTTAGATTGTAAATGACTCGTGTACTTGTCTGTCTCCTCTACACTTCTGTATTTGGTGTTTTCTCTACTGTTTAATATTGACAAAGTGATATAAGTGTAAATGTTTCAACAATCCCCTCTCTGCATAGACATTTAAAGCATCAGGTCTTGCCATTGTTATGGTTTTCTTTGTTTCCTCAGCTCACTCACTCACAGTGTCAAAAAGTGGTTCTTTAATAAGTCATTAGGAGAGACGTGTTGTCGTCAAGAGTTAACATGTTATGTCGTTTCATTCTCCGAAACAGAAACTACGTAACGTTTTTGCACTCTACAACACAAACACCACTATCAAAGAACCTGACAGTATTGATCATGGGCTCGTATTTAAAAGTTTGGAGTGTTCTTCTGAGGAATTCCACGTGGATAAGGGTAGTTCTGGAAACTTGTTAAACAAAACAGAATTGATTTATGTGACCGTATAAATAAGGAATTGAAGTCTCTGCATTTGAAATTCTCTTCTCTGAAGCATTATCAAGCAAAATCAACAATGGAAGCGAACGGTACGATTTGGAGCCATGATTCTCTCAGAAACTTCCATGAATTCACTCCGGCTGTGCAGAATCATCTAAAGCGGGTAACATCTTCATAATCTTTCACGAAAAGTTGTTGTTTCTTGGAATGAGATTCGTGATTCCATTGATTGGTGAATCATTTCGTTTCAATGAAACAGTTTGTTTCGTGATCTTCCTTTCGATTTTGTAGTGTTCATGGTTCTCGTTGTTGTATTCTTGATCGTTGCTATTTATAAGTTAAAAAGAAACGCACTCTTTAAGAGATTTTCTTGGTGTTTCTTGATTATATGTTCGTTGTTACGTTATGCTTTGCTCTTCTTGGTGTTTTTTCAATTTTGTCTTGGTTCTGTTGTTGTGTTCTTGATCGTTGGTATATATTAGTGAAAAGAAACACACTTCTTTGAGAGATTTTCTTGGTGTTTCTTGAATATTTTCTATGTTCGTTGTGTAGGTCTATCTCACGTTATTCTGTGCTCTTATTGCGTCTGCATTTGGAGCTTACCTCCATATGGTCTGGAATATCGGTGGAAATGTCACTACTCTTGGATTCACTGGAACCATGATCTGGTTGCGTTTCACTCCTTCACATGAACAACAATGTGGGTTTCATTCATCAGTTAAAACTTGTTTTTTTGACGATGTGTTCTCTTCCAATCTTGTTTCCTTCGTCAACTCTAATGTTTTCTTTGATGCAGCAAAGAGGCTTTTCCTTCTGTATCTATCTGCCCTTCTTAAAGGTGCTTCAGTTGGTCCCATGATCATGTTGGTCATTGATTTTGATTCAAGGTGATTTCTCTGATCATGTCTTTAAAAAGAAACCTCTACACAAGACTTCTAGGATCTGACAGTGTTGAATGTTTTGTGTGTTCCTTCTTTAAACCAGCGTCCTGGTCACTGCATTTGTGGGAACAGCAGTAGTATTTGTGTGTTTCTCCGCTGCAGCAATGTTGGCAACGCGTAGAGAGTATCTTTACCTCGGAGCTTCACTTTCTTGTAGTATGTCCATCCTTTGGTGGGTGCAAATTGCCTCTTCGATCTTCGGAGGCTCTATAACTGTCGTCAAGTTTGAGGTAAAAACTCTGTCTTCAAGGGTAGAGAAAATCTTGCTTGTATTAACATACATTCTCATCATTTGCAGCTATACTTTGGACTCTTGATCTTTGTGGGATACATAGTGGTGGACACACAGATGATAATCGAGAAAGCACACCATGGTGATATGGACTATGTGCAACATTCTTTTACCTTTTTCACTGACTTTGCTTCTCTGTTTGTTCGAATTCTCGTTCTCAACATGGTAAGTTCTTCTCTTAAACCCTTGGTGAGTTCATTGTTACCTTTAATGTCTCTATCTATATAATTTCGTCTTATTTTGTGCAGTTTAGGAAGATGAAGAAAGGAAGAAAAGACCGAAGAAACTGAAACCACCAAATCAAGTCTACATAGCTCAGATTGTTTAAGCAAAATCACTCTTTCCACTTGTCTTTTGACTAGTTTCTCTGCTATCATAAATACATTGAAACTTCAGATTGTAAATGACTTTGTACTCTGGCTTTGTGTTTACTGTCTAATATCAAACTTTTAACAAAAATGACAAGTTAGGAGAGAGTCACAAGTGTACATGTTTCAACAACTGTTTCAATGTAATATCTTGGTCAGAGCTTATGTTATATTTGGATTGTTTTAAAATGAGTAAACAATATGATCACACATTTTCTAGTTTGAGTGAAATTAAAGATATTAGGGAGAATTAACCACACTTTTTGTCTATCTTAAAATTTGAAGAAGCTAGTTGATATTTGATACTAAATATTATTATAGGACATTGTTTTATTGCTGTAGTAGTTGTTATTAGCGTATGAAAATGAAATGTTGTGATTTGTAAGCACGACTGGGGCATGACTTTTTGTCTTTGACCTCTAATGGCAATCCAATTCTCATCGTCTTTTCTCAGCCGTCTGATCATCCTCCATCATTTTGCCTACACCTCTCACACCATTTCATTATTACATGACCATCGTTTTTTTTTTTAATAGATCAGAGATGTGATTGGCATCTGAATTTCTGGTTACACTATTTTAAAATTTGGTAAGACTACTCTTCAATTCGGTCTCTGACACATTATTCTTCAGTTTTCGTAACTAATGCTTCATAACATTTTACCAATCACATTAGATTATATCATTTCCAAAAGAAAAATTCATACTATTTTTGTTTTCTTGTGTTTAAGATATAAAAAAATGGAATAATGCTATCTCAAAACTCAATAATTTAACTTGTTTCGGTTTATTTATTTATTTTTTATACGTTATAATTGATAATTCTTTATTGGTATTATACTACTATGTATGAAACCAAAAAAGAAACACAAAATACTAAGATCTCAATACATGTACTACTAGTAAAATGCAAAAGAAATCCGAATATTATAATAAATTACACGTATAATATAATGTATGGTGTTGATCTCGCATTAGTTCCCTAATCACATTCACAAATTACCAAAGAAACATAAGTAGGACCCATGTTTGAATATCTTTAACTAAATCAAACGGTGGAGAGAGGAGTTGTGTCCATGATCGTCATGGTGGACGGTGACTTTACATACCATTTCTTTCTTTTTTTAACTTTGTTTTTCTTTTATCACACAAAATTATATCAATAATTTTTAGTCTTCTCTTGTTAGAAAAATCAAATATCCCACCTAGCTTAAGAATATTTATTTTACCAGCATCGTATCGTCACACATGTATAAGAAAAGGCAAAATTAACCTAATCTCTTAATCTAGTCGTTGACAAAACTTTAGTCTTTTCTAAGTTAAAAAAACTAAAAATAAGAACCCAATTATAACCTTATTTAGCAAATTCAAAGGCATGAAAAAATCTACCTATCGTTATGGTATATACTACATATAGCCTCGTAGTTAAATAATTTCACATTCTGTCGACACATTATTTTTCTTGCATACACTTATATGTGACCATTTAGCAGCTGTTTTAAAAGGGAGCTAAACAAAAAAAGAGTAAAATATTTATCTACATATACATTTTTTTCTTGGGTTCTAATTTATCTACATACACATGAAAATATTATTGATAAAGAGTGTATTATGTGTATCTTAGATAAACTTTTTTGATGGAGTTAATAATTTTAGAAAAAATTAGCTTACCATTGCTTTTTTTTTCTTCCTCATTTTTTCTTATGATAGTCATTAATGTTTTTAATTGTCGTTATTATAATTTATTATACTTGTTGGAAATATCAATAGAAAAACAAACAAGAAAGAAAAGTCTATAGTCAACAAGAGGAAGGAACCATTAGGCATAAGCAATAATATTCCTCCTACCCAAATTAATACTAAAAACTTTATCTTAAATCTGATAGATCTCATTTCTTGTAAAACTAATTTTCTAAAATAGAAATCTCAAATTTTATGAAAGGAAGCCGAAACATTTACTTCAAAAATTCTTTTTCAAAAAAAAAACATTTACTTCAAAAATAACAAAAGAAAACAAAATGAAATGAAAGTGGCCATTTTATGTCGACAAAAAAAGCCATTTTATATGATGTCAAAAAATAAAGCCATTATATGATGAAGTAATCTTTTTTTTTTTCTAAAATGAAATTGAAAGGAGGAAAAAAACATATTTTTTATGAAAGGAAGCTGAAACAATTACTTCATCGTTACATAATAATAATGCAAAACAAAGCAAAGGAACAAAAAAAAATAAAAAATAAAATAAAAAAGAGACCATTTTATTATTATACACAAACAGTTTCTCGCTCTAAACCCTCAAAGTTGCTCTATCTCTCTCTTCTCCTTTTTCACAGCCATTTATTAGATTCCTCTCTCACAATTAGTCTCTTCTCTTTTCTATTGGATTGTTGTATTAGACTGATAGCTCAAGGAACCCAAAAAAAAAAAAAAAGATAAACAAAGGATAAAAAAATTATCTTCTTGAAATTGTTCTCTTTCTTGGTTTGATTTTGTCAATTTTCATAAACTCAGTTTTTTAGATTTTGTATTTCTGTATTTTCTAGAATTTGCTCATAGGAAATTTTCTGGGTTTTTTCTTGGCTTCAATTTGCAGAAAAAAAAAATTCTGGGTTTTTTCCTTAGCAGAGAGAAGGTTCTTATTACTGGTTTGTTGTATATTCCAATTATAGCTGAATATTAAACACAATTTATAAACTTAAATTTCTTTCCAAAAAAAATCTCTTCTTTAAGTCTATAAAAATTGCAACTTTCCTCTGAAAATTATATTTTCATTTTTTTGAAAAAAACAAAACAAAAAAGAGAGAGATAGAGAGATTATGGGGAAGCAAGGACCTTGCTACCACTGTGGAGTTACAAGTGAGTGTCTCCAATTTCTATTTCATGATGAGAAAATTTGTATGAATATGAATATTTCTGGGCGAGATGCTCTTTGTTTTCTGGGAAAATGATTTGATTACATGTTTTTATATGCTTTTTGTGTAGCAAATTGTTATAATGATTGGAGTGATACAGCAAAGACTTCCTGGAGTCAAGAATATCAATGAACATTTTGGAATTATGTTCCTTTAACAATATATATATTTGTTTCTGTTGAATGATCTTAAGAACAACACTTTGTCTCTGTTTGTGAGTTTCTTGTGTTGTTGTTGTTCTTAGTATGATTGGAATTAATGGATTAGGGAACAAAAACATGATCTTGGGATTTGAAATTGTGTTTATAATTGATAATTGTCGTAGAAAGGAGCTAAATTTTGTTCTGGTTGATGCTTAAAGACTTTAAGATGTTTGGTATTTGAGATCATTGTTCTTCTTATTGGGTTGGAGTTTGAATTTGCATTGTTAACTCACATTTCAAGTGTTGTTTGATGAAGAACTCTTATGTTGTCTTGATTTCAAAGCTCCAATTGCAAATTTGTGACATTTTGTTTCTTCCATTGAAACAGACACACCTTTGTGGCGAAATGGACCACCAGAGAAGCCTGTATTGTGCAATGCGTGTGGTTCGCGTTGGAGAACAAAGGGAACACTTGTGAACTATACACCGCTTCATGCTCGTGCTGATGGTGATGAGAATGATGATCAGCACAGGTTTCAAAGAATGAAGAGCATTTCTGTAAGCTATAAGAACAAAGAGACAAAGATGCTCAAGAGGAAAGCAATTCAAGAAAACATCATCATTAAAAGACCGGTCTTGGAATTCAGTTATGGTTTGAAGAAGGCTGTGATAGAGGAGGATGCTAGTAATAGATCAAGTTCTGGTTCGGCTGTATCAAACTCTGAGAGCTGTGCACAGTTTAGTAGTGCAGATGGGAGTGAGTTATCAGGTTTGGTTACTTTGTTATTCTTCGGTTTGATTAACAATATGGGATTTTAAAAAATAGCTCCTTAGTGTCCATGTGAACTTTGTTTTTTCAGGTCCATCTCAATCTAATGCGTGGGACACAACTGTTCCTTGCAAGAGGAGGACGTGTGTGGGCCGTCCGAAGTCCTCTTCTGTTGAAAAGCTCACAAAAGACCTTTACAATATTTTACAAGAGCAGCAATCTTCGTGTCTCTCAGTTTCATCAGAGGAAGATCTTCTTTTTGAGAATGAAATGTCAATGGTCTCTGTTGAGATTGGACATGGGAGTGTTCTGATGAAGAATCCCCACTCGTTTTCTCGGGAAGAGGAGTCTGAAGCCAGCTCGCTCTCTTCGATTGAGAACAAGTCTTCCATCAGTGAGGCATACTCACATTCTGTGAAGCGTGTTGAGATTGGAGCAGAGAGACGTTCATACTATGGTGGGCAAGAAATAAAGCAAGAACTATTCAAGAGGTAAAGTATTCTTAAGTGTGTCTTCAAGATATTCTATACAATAGCTCGCAAATTAGTCAAGAAAGATGAAAAATGGATCCGTTTTTAATTGTTGGCAGAGCCAAGTCTCATACTGAAAGAGTGCATGTCCTGGGGAGCCATGGTTCACCACTCTGTAGCATAGATTTGAAGGTAGTTTCCAAGAAACTCTCACCAAGTCTGTTCAATAATTAAGTTGAATATTATTGAACAAATGACTCTGGGACAATGCCTAAAACAATAAACTTTATTGCAGGATGTTTTCAACTTTGATGAGTTCATAGAACAATTCACAGAGGAAGAACAAAAGAAACTGATGAGATTGCTTCCACAGATTGACTCTGATAACCTCCCTGATAGGTTCGAACTGCTTTGCATTACAAAGAACAACGAAACCAGATCGTACAAAGTTTCTAATCTATCATATTTTGCCTCTGCAGCCTCAGAATGATGTTCGAAAGTGCTCAGTTCAAGGACAACTTCTCTTTGTTTCAGCAGCTCATTGCTGATGGTGTCTTTGATGTGTCTTCTTCCTCTGGGGCAAAACTCGAAGACATCAGAACTTTTAAGAAGCTTGCTTTGACAGATTTCAACAAATCTCGTTTGGTGGAAAGCTATAACCTCCTCAAGGTTGGGCTTACTCTTATTGAAACACTGGCATAATAATAACTTTTGGCCAGAGATTCACCGGATATGTGACTGCAGGAACGAGAAAAAGGGACCGGAGATTCTGTTACTACAACTTCAAAAAGCTCAATCCCAAATGTACCTAAAAATATTGTAACCATTAAGAGGCGCTGTGAAGACCAAAACCAATTAAAGTCAGGTCAGTCTTAAGGACCATTTTCATTTGTCTTGTTGATTCTGCAATCAATATTTGTGGTTTGTTGATCTTCTTGTTGTGGTCACAGAGTCAAGGGGGCTAATGAGGAGCCCCAAAAGGGTGATGAAGATGAAAGCAAGCCATGAAAGCAAAGTTATGACAGAGAACAATGTCTCATGCTTCAGACCAAGAAGCTTGGCTTCTGTGTTTGCACAAGAAGGTGGCTCTGCAGTGTTTGGCTATGAAGGTAATTGCAGTTCTGATCAAGATCTCCTTCTTCTGGACTTGCCGTCAAATGGGTCATTTCCTCAAGCAGAGCTGCTTCACCAACTCTGAGAGGTCAAAGCTTCAGACCTCATTGAGCTTCTCAGAGCTTAAAGGAAGGATTTTTAAGCTCTCTATCTTATCTTGATTGATTGAGGTTGATGAGAGCGACTCTTAGGCTTTCTGAGAAAACGACCAAATGAGGTTTCTGCTTTAGAAATTGGAATTTGCAGACATAAAAAAAAGGAAGGATTTTTATTTGAGTCTTGCTTGGGCTTCTCTTTGGTGGTTAAGTTTATAAAGGTTGGTCTTATAATATACATATATACATAAAACCTCTTCTCTTACCTCTCTTTCAGTGACCCTTTTAAACTTGAAAGTTCCATTTTTTTGGTTTCTTTTCTTTGGACTTTTTTAGTTTCTGCCTTTTTTTTTTGTATAGGATGAAAAGATACTGTAATATCATGTAAACTTCCCCAAACGCATAAAATGGAGTAAATGAGTACTTTATTAGACTTTTGGGAGTAATGCAAAAATACCTAGAGTTGTCCAAACTAGTATTAAAGATTACCTCTTTTTCTTTTTCTTTTTTTTTGTGTATTAATGCAAAAGATGTTGATGCCCTTGCTTTTATATGTATATATAAATACTTGTATATTTTATCTTTATAATCAAATATCAACTTTTGAGTAGTTTTTACTTATTTTTTCTACCACTTGAATTACAACAAATTTTCAATTTTAACGTGCTTTCTTTGTTGACAAAAAAGATGTTTTATTTATTCACAAAAATGTTTGGATTGTTACGGATAAAATGTAATTGAAAAACGAATTGATAAAGAATCATTAACATTCAACTTGATATGCGTAGAAATAATTGAGTTGACTGAAAATTGGCAGTTTTTCTTTTCTAATTTTTGTTAGTTTATCAAATTTGCATATTTACAGATTTGATAAAATATACATGTAATTGTTAGAGAATTCAAAAAAAAAAGAATTATATATTATATTATATGGATTTATTTTTCAACCATTAATTAAAAAATAACATAAGATGAAATACTCACATTTACTTTATTGTATAAAAAGATTAGTCTATTTTATATTTTAAAAAAGTAATAATATGAAATATATGTTTATCTTTTTATTTACAGGTTGATAGAGAAGGCAAAAAATATATATTTTAAATATAAATTTAATTAGAATTTAGGTTGTATTTTCAACAATTCCTTTATTCTTTCGCATGCTATATATAATTTAAACAGTCTATGATCACTAGAAAAATATTTCTCACAAACTATTTTGTAAATAAAATGATCTCCCAAAAAATATGATTTTGACCAAAAATTATCACAAATATGAGTCTGACCAAAAACAATTGCAAGCTTGTAGTATTTTTGCTAGAAAAGTTTGCCAGAGCTACGGGAGTTAAAAAAAAAAAAAAAAACCTAAAAGGGAAATTATATAGTTGTAGGACTATGTTTTCCATTTTTATATTTCTATTTTCAAGTAAACAAAGGATGGAAATATTTACATAATCTTACAAAATTAGGAGTTTGGGGATCTTAAATGGAGAAGTGCGTACGAGCTGGTAACTAAATATCTCCTGCGTGTCAAACACGTTTTGAAATTTCGAGCAATGGACCAAAGCGACAAGAACCCTAATCGGCGGCTCCAGGCGATTCCCAAGTGGTCGGAGCTTTGTTCGGACTTGTTACGAAGTATTTTCGAACAATTGAGTTTCACAAATCTCAATAGAGCAAAATTAGTTTGTAGGTCATGGAACTCTGCTTCGAGAGGATGCGTCCCCAAACGAAATCAGATTCCGTGGCTGATAATATTCCCTCGAAAGAACGAAAACAATAGTAGCAATAACTGTGTTTTATTCGTTCCTGTTGATAAAGACATAGTTTACAAGACTCGAGATCTCGGTGTTGACTTTGCGCAGAGTTGTTGCCTTGCGACTTACGGTAGCTGGCTTTTGATGTTTGACCATCTTCAGAATCTCTACATTCTTAATCCATTGACGTTAGAGAGGATTGATCTACCACATTCAACCTCTATATTTCCTAATATGTCCTATCGAAACATCAGATACAGATGCAGCCGATCAGCTTGTCTCTGGATAGACGACATAACCAAAGATTACCTAGTTGTTTGGCTCATCGATAACATAATTTATTTTGCAAAGAAAGGTGATGAAACATGGCGATTCGTTCCCACTGGTATGTTTAGGACGAATGATCAAATTATCTATAATCACAAAGATCACAAGGTCTACCAGTATGCTTTCTATGGCACTATCTCTGTTTGGGATTTCTCTGGTGATATCCCTCATGTAGATAAGCATCATTTACCTGGGAGCTTCATTGATCATGAGATTGGTGACGAGAACATACACTATCGGGTAACTCATCAGATTGTATCATCATTGTCTAGAAAAGTTGTGCTGGTAAGAATAAAGCACTACTGCCACCTCTCAAGATGGCGTTTTCGCATCTACGAGTTCAATCCTCTGACGCAGAGATTGGTAAAAATCAATTCTTTAGATGATGCGGCTATAATCTTGGACATGGGTATCACTGTTGTCGCCAAAGATATCCCAGGGATAAAGAAAAACTCCATTTATTTCAGCGGCCTCGACCACCCCACAACGGATCCCAAACTTAAATTTGTCTATGATCTCACCACCCACACCATGGAACCTGTGCCACAATGCGTCTTCTCCTCCATGCCCTTCTCTGATTCTCGATGGTTCTTACCTGGTTTCAAAGGTTAATTGGACATGTTTCTGCTTAGTGCTCCACTTCTTTTGGTTTTAATTAATTCTAGCTACTATATATATAATGTTGCCTTTATAGCTTTCCCTATCCTTTGATCGTTAGTTTATTTGTGTTATGCATATATTTTATTGTCTCCATCACTTCAACTGTTACATCTTTCAATTTTCTTATCTTGATACTCCTAGTCAAAAGTTGAGAAAGAAATCCTAAAGGAATTCATCGACCATATCCTAAAAGCATTTTCATCAACAGATTTTAAATAATTTTGCCAAAAAAGGGCACAAGAACTACCGTGGTAAAAAAGGGAAAAGGGAAAATTAAAATAATTGTAGGAATAAATTTTCATTTTTATATCTATTTTTCGATAATATTGTTTCAACTAAATATATCTTTTTCATAAAATAAAATAAAAACTAAATATATAATCTTATCATTTTACCCTAATTATAGGTCAGTTTGGGGTCTATAAATAAGGAAGTACCACTCGTAACCAAAAATCTCTGCATGTTTCTGATCATTTGAAAGCAATGGATCAAAGCAAGAAGAATTCGAATCGGCTTTCGGTGATTCCTAATAAGTGGTCAGAGCTTTGTCAGGACTTGTTACGAAGTGTTTTTGAACGATTGAGTTTCACAAATCTTACTCGAGCAAAATCAGTTTGTAGGTCGTGGAACTTTGCTTCTAGAGACTGCCTCCCCAATCTGATTCCGTGGCTGATACTCTTCCCTCTCGAGGAGAAGGCAATCAACAGCGACAACAATAGCTGCTTGTTGTTTGTTCCTGATGATAAAGACAAAATTTACAAGACTCGAGATCTCGGTGTTGACTTTGCACATAGTCTTTGTCTTGCGACTTACGGTAGCTGGCTCTTGATGTTTGACCATCTTCGGAAGCCCTACATTCTTAATCCCTTGACGTTAGAGAGGATTGATCTACCACAATCACTCTTTATACATCATTATATGTCCAAACAAGATGGCAGATGCAACCGATCAGCTTGTCTCTGGATAGACGACATAACCAAAGATTACCTAGTTGTGTGGTTCATCTATAACATTATTGTTTTTACAAAGAAAGGTTATGACACGTGGAGATTAGTTCAAACTAGTGAAATTCGAATGTATGATCAAATTGTCTATAATCACAACGATCACAAGGTGTACACTTATGTTCCTTATGGTCATGTCTATGTTTGGGATTTCTCTGGTGATGGCCCTCCCAAAGACGGGTATCATTTACCTGCTAGTTTCGTTGATCGTGAGATTGAGAAAGGGGATAGATTCTATCGGGAAAAGTATCTTAACTACAAGATACAGATTGCAACCACATTGTCTGGAGAAGTTGTGCTGGTAGAAATAATGCATCGCCTCACAAGTTGGCAATTTCGCATCAACGAGTTAAATCCTCTAACGAAGAGATGGGTAAAAATCGATACTTTAGGTGATGAGGCTTTACTCTTGGACATGGGTTTCACTATTGTCGCCAAAGATATCCCAGGGATCAAGAAAAACTCCATTTATTTCAGTGGCCTCAACCATCCCATAAAGGATCCTAAACATATATTTGTCTATGATCTCACCACCCACACCATGGAACCTGTGCCACAATGCGTTTTCTCATCCATGTTCTTCTCTGATGCTCGATGGTTCGTACCTGGTTTTAATTAGAACTGTCTCTGCTTCGTGTTCCAATTCTTTTGGTTTTAAATCTACTAATATTTTGCTTTTACTTTGTGTTATATGCACACGTTTGATTGTCTTAGTCTCTTAGACTTTATCACATCAAAGTGTTACATATTTCAGTTTTCTATTTTGTTACCAGTAGGAATAGTTGGTTAGAACTTTGATGATACAGGTTTGGCAAACTATGATTCAAATCTCATTATGTGACCCAAAAAAAAAAAAAAGGAAAAACAAATCATAATACAGTAATATACCTATGCTGAATTATTCAATGAAACAAATTAGGGTATTATAATAATAAAAAGTTGGGTTCCACCTTCACAAGATCAAAATCAAGATTCTAATAGTTGAGACGAAGTCCCAAAGAAATAAAACAAGAACATGTCTTTAAGACTCCCAAGAGTCAACAACAAATGCAGAGAACACAGACTCATTCATAAATATTTACTATTAAAGTATGGACCTACTGTGATCCTAAATCTTAAAAAGGTCATATATCATTCATTTCTCAGAAAATCTGCAGGCAATGACTTACAAGCTTGGAAAAGAAAGAAAGAAACAATTCTTACAAAACAGAGCACAAAGCGGGAGATTACTACCTCTGGATGGTGTTCACTTGAAAGTTCAAGTGAACACACGAGGAAGCTTGTCTCTCAGATAGTAAAGCCTTGCTCTTCTCACTTTTCTGTGACTCACCACTTTTATCTCTTTGATATTGGAAGAATCAAACAATTAGGAGAATCGACACAACACTTTTCTTAAATACCACATTGTAAGAACATAATCGCTATATAACAGGAAGTTCCTCGAGACTGGTATGTTATACAGCAGACTGAAAGGTAGAAAAACATGTGCAGACATGATAGTTGCCATAATGATTTAGGCTTCCATAACTGGCTAGGTAAAACAGCAACTAAAGATAAGTAAAAAATCTCAAATGTCATGATCAATACACTGTGGACCAAAACTACTATCGGCTCGGGTCATGAATACAGATTGCAACAACAGTACCTGGACAAATTCTGCATGTAGACGGTATTTTGTATGACTACGAAACATGGCAATTTCGCATCGGCAAGTTAAATCCTCTAACAGGGAGATAGGTAAAAATAGATTCTTTAGATTGTTGGTGTTGACTTTCAAAAAGATGTGATACCAATCCAAATTATACGTTAGAAATATTATCTAACGTGGATTTCACTTCATGACTACAAAGGCTCTTTTTGAAATTTGACAAAGTCTTATCCAAGCCACTAGAACAATTAGTGCCTTTTCACTGTGAGACCCCAAATTCTTCAATGTAATACAAGAAAATTCAAAGAGAAAAGTTTCAACAAACTATTGATAATCAGTTACGGCCTCACTTAATTTTATTTATTTATAACAATCTTCTCTCTCACTTTTCTTAAACCAAAATCCGTTCCTTCTTCAAATTTTCATGACCACCATAATGTTGGGACCGTTTTTGCGTTTGCATTTTCTCTCGCTACTCTTACTCTCTTGTGTCACCCCTTCAAGCTTCTTCACCATCAATAATCTTGTTGGTGGTCTTGTTCCTTGTCTTCCCCACCAGATTCAAGCCCTTACACAGTTTAAGAACGAGTTTGATTCCCGTAGTTGCAATCTAACAAACTACTTTAATGGAGTCTGGTGCGATAACACGACGGGTGCAATCACTAAGCTACAAGTTCCAAGTGGTTGTCTTAGTGGAACTCTGAAGCCCAACAGTAGCCTCTTCAAGTTTCATCATCTTCGCTACCTTAATCTCTCATACAACAACTTCATATCCTCTTCACTCCCTTCCGAGTTTGGAAAGCTCAACAAATTAGAGGTTTTATCTCTTTCCTTTAATGGTTTCCTCGGCCAAGTTCCTTCCTCATTTAGTAACCTAAGCATGCTTACCGTTTTAGACCTTTCCCAAAACGATCTCAGTGGTAGTTTCCCGCTTGTTCGGAATCTAAGCAAGCTCAGTGTTTTAAAGCTTTCTCATAATCGCTTCTTTGGAACTCTGAATCCCAACAGTAGCCTGTTTGAGTTGCACCACCTTGGTTACCTTGATCTCAGTTACAATAACTTCAGCTCTCCTCTCCCTTCTGAATTAGGTAATCTCAAAAAGCTAGAGGTCCTGTGTCTTTCCGATAATGGTTTCTCTAGTCAAGTTCCTCTCACATTTAGTAACCTAACCTTGTTAACCCAGTTGTACCTTGACACAAACGAACTCACTGGTAGTTTCCCACTTGTACAAAATCTAACCAAGCTCTTCCTTGTAGAACTTGCTAGTAATCACTTCTCTGGAATCATTCCTCCTTCACTATTTACTATGCCTTTCTTATCACATCTTGATTTGAGTGAAAACCATTTCACTGGTCCTATTGAAGTTCCCAACTCCTATCTGCCATATAAGCTCGAGCATCTACGCCTTGGCTATAACCATTTTGAAGGACAAATCCTAGAGCCTATCTCTAAGCTCATCAACCTCAAAGAGCTAAGCCTTTCTTTCCTAAACACAAGTTACCCACTTGACTTAAGTCTCTTGTCCTCTCTCAAATCTTTGTTATACCTCGACCTTTCCGGTAACAATATCTCTCCGGCCAGTTTAAGTTCAGATTCATACATTTCATTGACCCTGGAATTGTTGTACTTGAATGAGTGTGGCATCAAAGAGTTCCCAAACATCTTAAATACCCTTCAGAATTTGGATTCTTTAGAGATGTCCGGCAATCCAATCAATGGGAAAATCCCTGAGTGGTTATGGAGCCTTCCTTATCTGAGCTCAGTGTTTATGACAGAAAATTTGTTCAGTGGCTTCGAAGGTTCGGCAGAAGTTTTAGTAAATTCATCGGTGCGGATGTTAGATTTGGAGTCAAACAATTTAGAAGGAGCACTTCCTCATCTGCCACTATCTATCCTCTCCTTCTCTGCGGGTAGGAATAGATTCAAAGGGGACATACCTCTTTCAGTCTGCAACATAACCTCGCTTGTTGTCCTTGAACTAAGCTACAACAACTTCACTGGTCCAATTCCTCCATGTCTAAGTAACTTGAAGATTTTGAATCTCCGGGAAAATAACTTGGAAGGAAGTATTCCTGACGTTTTCTATGCCAATTCACCTCTCCATACACTTGATGTTGGCTTCAATCTAATAACTGGAATGCTTCCAAGGTCTCTTCTAAATTGCTCTTCTCTGGAGTTTCTTGTCGTTGACAAGAACAAAATCAAAGATACATTTCCTTTCTGGCTCAAGGCTTTACCGAACTTGCAAGTCCTTACTCTACGCTCAAACGATTTCTATGGTCCTATATCTCCTCCTCATCAAGGTCCTCTTGGATTTCCTGAGCTACGAATATTTGAGATATCTGATAACAAGTTTACTGGAAGCTTGCCACCAAGTTACTTTGTCAATTGGAAAGCATCATCCCTCACGATGAATGAAGATGGGAGTTTGTATATGGAGTACGACAGAAATTCTTACAGTACTGTTACCTACACCTATTCGGATTTACTAGATTTGCAATACAAAGGTCTATCTATGAAGCAATCTAAGGTCCTCACTTCATATGCCACCATTGATTTTTCTGGGAATAGACTTCAAGGACAGATTCCCGAGTCCATCGGTCTCTTGAAAGCACTTATTGCACTCAACTTTTCGAATAACGCCTTTGCAGGTCATATTCCTCTGTCGCTTGCTAATTTGACGGAGCTCGAGTCACTGGACCTATCAAAAAACCAACTCTCTGGGACTATTCCTAATGGACTAGGGACCCTCTCGTTCTTGGCGTACATAAACGTGTCTCATAACCAACTCAAAGGCGAAATACCACAAGGAACACAGATTACTGGGCAATCTAAATCATCTTTTGAAGGTAATGCAGGGCTATGTGGTCTTCCTCTGGAGGAAACTTGTTTTGATACTAATGTGCCACCAACACAACAGCATATGGAAGAAGACGGAGAAGAGGGCCAAGTGTTGAACTGGAAAGGAGTAGCAATAGGGTACGTACCTGGAGTGTTGCTTGGATTGGCAATAGCACAAGTCATTGCTTCATATAAACCAGAGTGGCTCGTCAAAATAATTGGTCCCAATAAGCATTGAGACCATTATAAAAGTTTCCTTTTTGAGTTTGATGCTTCAGTGTCTGTCAGTCGAGTAGTTGTGGTCTTGTATTGAAGCATTTTCGTATGCTCTTGTGGTGTCTTTATCTGATGGTTTGTTCTATTTATTTTCCTATCAAGTAAGAGTGGTGAATTTTCTCTAGTCATACTCCATATGCATCTCTGTTTTTTCTTAATATTTAACATGTCAAAGAAGCAGTAGAAGACCATAAATAACCATATAAAGGATAATTAAAGCCTAAGCAGGTAAACTCATCCTTAATTCTAAGTCCTAGCCTACTTGATGTTGTTTCAATATGTATGTTTTAGAGTTTTAGTGTCATTGCATGTAAGCTAATTAGCAGAGAGACCTTCCAAAAAAATAGCGTTTAGTTGATTGTAAGAAATTATTCAACAATTTGGTCGGTCTAGAGAAATTACTTACATCTCTGTGTTTGATGGTGAAAACATCTACGGGTGGATTGCGTGTTTTGAACGCTATTTCTGAATTGGAGATTTTAACGAGATTGAGAAGCTGGAGTTGGTCTCGGTCAGTTTAAGGAGTGTGGCCTTGAGTTGGTACAACTGAGAATTCAACAAGTTGCCATTCGTGAACTGAAATCAATTCAAGGACAGGTAACAGGTTGTTGCTAACGATTTGGGAACTTGAGGGTCAAAGACAAACCCTGTTTTGGATCAAACAGACAGATTCCAATGTATTTACTATTAAAGTATGAACCTAATCCTAAATCCTAAAAGATCATATATCACTCATTATCAAACAAGGACCAGGTCTACAATTAACAACGAGAAGCTAAAAAAATCTTTGATTTTCTTTCTCGCAAGAATATGCAGGCAATGACTTACAGGCTTACGAAAGAAAGAAACAATTCTTACAAAAACAGAGCACGAAGCGGAAGATTACTACCTCTGAAGGTCACTTGAAAGTGGAGAGACGAGGAAGCTTGTCCCTCAGATAGTAAAGCCTTGCTCTTCTCACTTTTCTGTGACTCACCACCTTTATCTCTTTGATGTTGGGAGAGTATCTGTCAAATCAAACGATTAGGAGAATCAACACAGATCAAAAACTTCTCTTAAATAGCACACTGTAAAAAATAACCGGTTTATTACAGGAAGCTCCTCAAGACTCGTATTATACAGCAGCATGAAAGATAGGAAACATGAGCAGCCATGAACATGATAGTTGCCATAATGATTTAGGCTGCCATAAGTGGGAAGGTAAAACAGCAACTAAAGACTTCAAAGTCTATGCAGAGATAGTAATTACTATTCAGGGACATTTGTGTAAGAAATATTAAGTATAACTCAGAATCAATGTAAACTCGGATTTATTGAAAAGCCACGAGTCATGTAAGCCTCAGCTGCGGGTTTCCCTTTTATTAAAAAGGCTTATGAATATATCATAACAAGTCTGTGAACTCACATGGGAAACACGATTTCAACACCGATACCGGCAATAATTCTCCGAATACGAATGGTAGTGTGTATGCCTGCGTTTTGTCTCGACATCACTATGCCTTTGTAGATAGATAGCCTACGTTTGTTCTCAGGAACTTCCTGCAAAGCCAAACACCATATCCCACCAATATCAAAAACTTCCATTCAATGCATAATAACATAGATGCTTCAAAAACATCAACAACTTACCAATTTGATTTCTACAATATCTCCTGTCCTGATTTCTGGAACAGGTCTCACTTTCTCTGATACCTCAATTGCTCTCTGGTTCAGTATCTACACAATCAACAGATAATAGCATTCAATCTCCCTCAACATTGCCTATAAGATAACTACAAATCAAGAAAGCAAGTCACTCAACACAAATTTGTACACAGAGACTTACTGACTCCTAGTTGAATAGTCAGTAAACACTCATAATTTTGGATTACTGATAACAAAGAAGTTCACTTACCCCCATGACATCTCCGAGCTTGATCCTCAGTTTTCTTGTAGGTTTAGCTTCACCAACTTCTTCTACATTGCCTTCCGTATCAGCGATTTCAGTAACAGCTTCTTCAGATTCAGCTTCAGTGTTACCTTCTTCTGCTCTAACGATAAACTCATTTCTCACCCTAGTATCGAATGAGAACCCAAATTTCGAGCCGGAATGATTCAGAGAGAGCCTAGAAACTGATGTACGAGAATTCATCGATGGTGCGCATGATAGAAACGAAGAAAACCCTAAATTCTTCGATGATTGAGTAGGGTTTCTCGGTATCATATGCAATGCCTGAATCCCATAAAAGAAAAAAGTAATCAACAATAATGAATTAAGTTAAAACGCCAAATGCAAAATTCAGATTTCAAAAGCTTCTTATGTATAAACCTGAGGAAGACGATGAAAGCTCGTCGCCATTGCTGCAAACTCTCAGTTTACTCGGAGAAAATGGAGGGAAGCTAGTGGCAAAGAGCCTTATCTGCTTTTTCGCTTCCAATTTTGAAACACGTATGCCGTCGCACGTGTGAATTTTCTTTATGGGCCGTTGTTATAGTGGGCCTATAGTATTATCAATATTATATAATATAGTACTATGATTTATAAAAATATCAATAAAGAGGCGGCTTTTGACCCAGGCTTATGATGATTCTTTTTTCCTTACATAAACCTATAATCTGGGCCCACTACCACGTCGCTCGTGTGGGTCATGCGTACCAAAGTGGTCACCGTGGCATGACAACTGTTGTTCTGCCTTTTGGCTCTACCGTAACAAAGAGGACACGTGTCGTATCTTCACAGTATACGTCGTGTTCTATCTCTCTCTCTTTCCCCCTCCCGCCAATATCTCTCTCCCTCTGGTCTCCTCTCTCTAATCTTTCTCTCTCAATCAAATTAATTCGTGATTCTGATTTATCATACATCAAAAAATGGATTTGGGTATTTGATTTTGATCCGTAAAGGTTGATTCTTTTTTTTATCATTGAAAATTTTGTTTTTGGGAGAGTTTTTTTTGTGTTGTGAGAGATGGCGATGAATTCGAAGAGGAAAACACCACCTGGGATTGCGCTTCTCAGGAGAGTCAGAGGAAGAAATTGGAGTCCAAAAACGTTTCGGTACGCGATTTTGTTGATTACTTTCATTGCGTATGCTTGTTACCATGCTTCTCGTAAACCAAGCAGCATAGTGAAGAGCGTTTTACACCCAGACTCAAGCACTAAGCCACCTCAAGAACACAACAGCAACAAAATTTATCCTTGGCCTATGGGCAACGTGTTTGTGAAGAGAGAAATTGGTGATATAGATGAGGTTTTGTTACATCGTAAGTCTAAAGGATGGGAACCGTTTAATGGGAAAGATGGGACGTCTAGGTTGGGAGAGATTGATGTGGCGTTTCTTGCTTGTTACTCTATAGGAATGTATGTTGCTGGACATTTGGGTGATAGTTTGGATCTGAGATTGTTTCTCACTTGGGGAATGATTGGGAGTGGGTTTTTTGTTGGCTTGTTTGGTATGGGTTATTTCTGGAACATTCATGCGTTTTGGTTCTTTTTGGTTATGCAAATGGCGGCTGGGTTGTTTCAGGCGACTGGATGGCCATCTGTTGTGGCTGTTGTTGGTAATTGGTTTGGGAAAAGGAAGAGAGGTCTTATAATGGGGATTTGGAATGCTCATACTTCGGTTGGGAACATTTGTGGTTCTTTGATTGCGGCTGGTGTTCTTGAGTATGGTTGGGGATGGTCTTTTATAGCTCCTGGTTTTGTGATGTCTTTAGGAGGAGTTATTGTTTATTTGTTCTTGGCTGCGTATCCTGAGGATGTTGGGTTTCCAGATATCAATTCTAATTCAGGGAAGTTTATTAAGAGGAAGCGAGATGTTGAAGAAGAAGAAGAGGAAGTAGAAGAAGGTTTAGGGACAGATGTTGAAGGGGAAGGGGAGGGATCATCAGGGTCAGGTTCAGGGTATGAGAATAAAAGAAGTGTTGGGCTTTTGCAAGCTTGTATGATTCCTGGTGTTATACCGTTTGCGTTGTGTCTCTTCTTCTCGAAGCTGGTCGCGTACACGTTCTTGTACTGGTTACCGTTTTACCTTAGCCAAACAAGTAAGTGTTGATTGTCATTTTCTGCTAGTACAACCAGATTTAGACCATGTTCTTACTTACTCTTATTTGCAGCTATTGGTGGAGAGTACGTATCTGTGAAAACAGCAGGAAATCTTTCCACACTATTTGATGTTGGAGGCATTGTAGGAGGGATTCTTTGTGGTTACATTTCAGACAAATTCAAAGCAAGGGCTACAACTGCAGCAGCATTCATGTACGCTGCGATTCCAGCAATGCTTGTGTACCATTCTTATGGAGGTGTCTCTCAGACAGTCAACATCCTCCTCATGATGGTTGCTGGTTTGTTTGTCAATGGTCCTTATGCACTCATCACAACCGCAGTCTCAGCGGATCTTGGAACCCACAAGTCTTTACAAGGCGATTCAAGGGCGCTTGCAACTGTGACTGCTATCATTGATGGGACTGGATCTGCTGGTGCGGCTTTAGGTCCGCTTTTGACAGGGTTTCTTTCGACCATGGGCTGGCAAGCTGTGTTCTATATGTTGGTCGTTGGAGCTCTATGTGCTGGTTTGCTTTTGACCCGTCTGGTTATTGCTGAAATTAGAGAGAAACTTGGATATGTTGATGAAGGTAATAACCAAATATCTTTTTGAGTTTTGTTTGGCTAATCTAATCATTAGGATCTGACTTTATCCTTGTTCGTTTTGCAGTTCCTGCGTCTGAACCACTGTTAACAGACAGAAGATGATGGAGAAGAGAGCAGCGAGAGAGTCAGTGTGAACAGAATCCATTGTTTGCGCAAGAGTTTTGTTCTGTTATATAACTATGAGTTTGCCAGAGGAACTCACAGTTCGTTGTATTCTGTGTTTTGTCTGATATTGTGATTTTTTTTTAATCTCATAACAAATGAAGGAATTGGCTTACAGCTTTCTTCCTCTATTTCTTCTCTGTTTTCTACGACACTCGAAGCAATCTTTGCATGGTGGTGTTTCGTACTTGTAAGAGGAAACTAATTTGAGTTTTTCGGGTGAAACTTTGAGATCTTCTATGATTATCCTTCGAAGCTTTTCGTTCTCTTCCATTACTTCATCGATGAGTTTCTGATGTTTCAGCACCTACACAATCAATTTCGTTGATACATAACCATGGACTAATAAAATCTGGTAAAATGTAACAGAAAAGAAGACAAACTTGAAGTCAAGAACGAGATGATACCATTTGAAGCATTAAGCTCTCTGATTCTAGTTGTGTGACCTACCAATGTCATGAAACAAAAGGAAGTTCAACAATGGCTTTCTGAGATCAAAGCAGGGAGGGGGAAACGTTCTGTGATACAATCATTACCTGCCGTTCTACCGCAGTTGTGTCTTGCTGTTTCAGAATCGGATTTTCAAGAAAACTGTTGATCACTTTCTCAGTTCGAGTACCAAAAGTTCTTGAATCAGTAGAGGAACCACTGTTCTTGAAAGATGCTTTTGTGTCCACATGTTTCTTGTGACCGGTTACAGATGGAGACACCTGGTCTTCAATCTCGGTTTGACTTGAGGTGGTCTCACTCGTTCTTCCAAGTTTAGTCATCAAGCTAGATGCAGTTCCCTAGAAAGATTCATACTCAAGGTTTTATGTGAATGAACAAAATAATTATTAAGGACACTTGTTGAAAGACTGGTACTTACCATAATAGAAGCTTGAAGTTTGTGTATGGCACTTGGTTTCACTGCGATGCCTGTCAGTGATTGACATAAGTTACTGACGATTAGAGAGCCATAGTTGCAACAATTCCAAGTAACTCAACTGTTCAGAAAGTAAACAACTAGAATCTCATATATCAAAACTGAAGAGCGTTTGGAACAAAATGGAGAACAAGAAGTTCTACTTAATTTCTACTTAATAACGGAAACGTACCAACTCCAAAACCATGACCGAAGCCAACTCCACAGCCAACACCTGCTTGAATGTTCCTAGCTCCAAGCTTCCGCAGCTAAAGATAGCGCAAGTACACAACCAGATTCAGAATAGCATAATGCAGGAAGATTGAAAAAAGAGCAAAAGTAAATGGAGAAATTAAAGAAAGAAAAGTTTGACTATACTGTACAGCGCCATTGACGTGGTGTGTGGCACCCGAAAATACATTGGTTGCTCCTCTAGCTGAACTCATTATTTCCCCCACCATTGGAATACTACCTGTATATGTAAATAACAACAAATTAAATACCGGATTAGTGATCTCACAATCATGATGCTGTGTGAGCCAAACCAATTAGCAAAGTAAATAGTCTTCAACAAAGAATAGAACTTCTTCTCTTTTGCAATTAGAGATAGACTGGTTTGGATAATTACAGAATCATCAGTGGCAACAATACACTAAGAACCAAATTAAACTTTCAAAATCAGGTCATTTTGAGCTTATTGATTTCAATCAATCTCACCAGATTGCTTAATTTCACATTCTCTTCACACCTCAGAAACGCAGCAAAAGGAAAAAGAGTATATACCGAGATTCAAAGGTGCACCACTGCCTATACCAACTCCACAACCAACGCCAAATCCAGTGAATACTTGAAGAGCTTTAAAAGCAAAAGGATTCTCTATTTTCATTCCCCCATTAGAAAACCCTAATCCTCCCTTCTTCATCACCACACCATTGCTGCTGATGCTTCCGCCGCCGCTTTCCTCCATCTCTTTTCACTCTCTCACTTAGCTAAAGATACGATAATGGGACTTCTTCCAGAGAAAAAGCTAAGAATCCTCCATTGATTTGGTTTCCCGCCTGTTTTCCATTGGCGTAGTAGAAGTTACCGAACTGTTGAGAAAGCAAGAAAGAGAATCAGAAAATGAGTGAGAAGATGATTCAGCGTTCTCTGTTCCCTGGTCGATAAGAAAATGATAAATGGGCCTAACTGATAAGTTTTTTTTTCATTAGGCCCATTAGATTCGAATTAGTGTCTTTTTTTTTTTAGTATCGTATTGAAACTTTCTCGTCCACGCATCTTCTGGGTTGGCGAAGACACGTCAGCAATGCAACAAAAAAAAAGGCGTATTTAAAACATTTGTTGTGGCGTGGCCCTTTCTCATTTCTTAACCACGTCGTCGACACTAACCGATCGTGTTACGTCTCTCTTTCAGTCTCTCCTCACCGACGAAGATCACGGCTCTTTTCTCTGTTTAATCGGCGGAATCTCTCGTCTTACTTTTTTTTTCTTCCGGTAGATCGATCCAGCTACGAGATTAACCATGAATCCTGAATAGTAAGAACCTTCTTCTTCTTCTTCTCTGATCTTTCAGATCGATTATAGCGTCCTTGTTATGTAATTTACTTTCTCTTTAGAATTTCTTCGGATCATTTTTTTACAAGCAGATTCGTGAAACTAACCTTATGTTGATGCCGGCTTTGTTAATCTGTCTAATCAATTTCTTGATTTGGAGTCTCGTTTCGTGGATCGGATTTTTGATTAGATCTAGACAAATTTTGGTTGAGATCTGTTGTTTCTCTTCAATACACAGATGATTCTCCTAGTTTGAAATTCTAGGTGTGTGTGTGATTCCATAGTCGATTTCGATTATGGTGTTTTTAATTTCGGGGTTGTGAAAAATGGCGTTTAGAAATCTATGAGCTTCTTCACTGTGTTTAGCACCTTTGAAATATGTCTTAAACTTCCTAATATAGCTGTAGAATTATCAAAAATGCTTTATCTCTTACATGTGTCTTATGCTTCTTTTGATCTGCAGTGACTATTTGTTCAAGCTTTTGCTCATTGGTGATTCTGGTGTTGGAAAGTCATGCTTGCTTCTAAGGTTTGCTGTAAGTAATTTCATTTCTCTCTTAATCACCTAGCTTATGATGATATTTGTATACACAAATAGGCTTATCTATTAAGTGCCATTGTTTATCTTCTCAAGTGGTGTCCCAATTTTTTTGTATGTGCAGGATGATTCCTACCTGGATAGCTATATCAGCACCATTGGTGTTGACTTTGTAAGCCTCGTCCTCTTTATCTATTGGTCATGCATCAATCATAAAAGTTATAATTTTGTAATGCTGTTTCTGCAGAAAATCCGCACAGTCGAACAAGATGGAAAGACCATCAAACTCCAGATTGTAAGTTGCCACGACTAGTGTCAATCACTTGAAACTGTTGTATGTGCATATATATGATCACTCTCCTTATTACTATCACCAATTATGCAGTGGGATACAGCAGGCCAAGAACGTTTCAGAACAATTACTAGCAGTTACTACAGAGGAGCTCATGGAATAATTGTATGTTCGTTATCACACTTACATTATCTCCCTGTTATCTGACATTCATCAATGAAACTAAACTGTTGTGTTAATTTTTCATTTTTGTCAGGTGACTTATGATGTAACAGATCTAGAAAGCTTCAACAACGTCAAGCAATGGCTAAATGAAATCGACCGCTACGCCAGTGAGAATGTTAACAAGCTACTGGTTGGGAACAAGTGTGATCTCACATCACAGAAAGTTGTATCCACTGAGACAGCCAAGGTAATATGCTTCAGAAGTTCGTCACAGTTAAAGGTTCTTTGACACTTTTCTGTCTTGTCTTAAGGAATTACTGTAATGGTTGTTCTGTCTACACAGGCTTTCGCAGATGAACTTGGAATCCCATTCTTGGAAACAAGTGCTAAGAATGCTACCAATGTCGAAGAAGCTTTCATGGCCATGACTGCTGCAATCAAGACAAGGTAGTGCGCCAATCATTATTGTATTGAGCTCATATATTTATTACACATTACAGGCCAGCAGCCTTACCGGATTTTGTCTTGCAGAATGGCGAGCCAACCTGCAGGAGGATCTAAGCCACCAACGGTCCAGATCAGAGGACAACCTGTTAACCAGCAATCAGGTTGCTGCTCCTCTTGATTCGCTTTGGTAACACTTAACCATATTATCATTCGTTTGCATGTAAGAAATCTAAACAACGTTGCTTCTTAAATCTTTTGTATTTGGTTTTTTAATTTTTCACTTATGTCAAAAAGCTTTTAAATTCTTTGTAATGGTACTTGGATTAATAAACTCCTTTAGTAAAAGTTCCTTCTGCTGAAATGTAAAATAAAAAACACACCTAAATAAAATTGAAACCTAAATATTACACACGAAAAATGGAGAATGGTTGATTTTTTAGCCTCATTGAACTTTGAAACTCCCAAAATTGGGTTCGTAAAACAAAAAAACTCCAGCTCTGAGCTCTCTAAAGGGAAGAGTATAACAATAAAAATAGCAGAAGAACAAAATCCAAACCGACTGAGAGATATTACAGAGACAAAAGAGTCCAGACAGAGGCTGAAGGACCAAACCCGAGAGCCTGCCTTACTTACCCAAAGTAGGGAACTGTGCAGTGTCCCCAATGGCCGGTGCCGGTGCAGGTGCTGGTGCCCGTGCAGCTGCTCCTCCGTCCCTCTGGTTTCTCCCGCCTTCCCTTGGGTTTCTACCTCCGTCCCTCTGGTTTCCTCCTCCGTCCTTCTGGTTTCCTTCTCCTCTTGGTCCACGTCCTTCCCTTCCACCTCTTGGTCTGTAATTCTTTCCATCCGCAGGTTTCAGAAACTCATTGATGCTCAATGACTACAACAGAAGTGTGCAAGCAATGAGAAAGAATTCGAACGAAATACTTAATCTCTCTCTCTCTTTAGTAAATAAATGGGAAAACATAAGTAAACTAGTTACCTTCCTTGTCTTCTCTTCTCTCTCAGTAACACGCTTGTCCTTCTCTGTTCCCTGATAATACCATTTCAAGGTTCGATAAGCAAACACTCAATCATAAATACAAGATACTAATGTAGATTACTGAGACTAAAATCTATAAGTTTAAAGTGGACAGTGATCATCCAGATACTTACCAGTTTGATGAAGACTTCATCATTGTTGCTCTTTTTGCTTGAGAGCTGTTGCATGGCCTCAAATGCTTTAGTGTCAACCTTCCTCTCCTCAACCTTGGTTGCCTGCAGAGCTTTCTTCTTCTCCTCCAAAACCTTCTCATACTCTTCCAAAGTCATCTCCTACAAACAGTAAATTGGCATTAGATAACCAAAAATTCTTCTTAAGCTGTTAATATAAACAGATATGAATTCAAGATGTGATATTGTACCTTGTCCTCAGGCTTTTCCTCTGCTTTCACTTCAGCAGGTGTCTCTTTGTTTGCATCAGTTGCTTCACCTTCACCATCTTGCTTCTCAACAGTCAAATTCTTGTCCACAACAGCTGTGGATTCTTCAGTCACCCTAGTGATTCATAGAACACGAGTTAATTTATCAAACACCAACAAAACAGAAAGACGTATCTAGAACAAAAAAAAACTATCTTTACAAGAATACTTACGGAGCAATATCATCCTGAGTGGTTCCCCAGTTGCCACGGCCAGCTCCATCACGTTTAACCTCATTTCTACTCAACAATGAGTATACAATTAAAAATCACACAGAAATCAATCAGCACACGACTAGAAATTAAGAAGCTAGCTTACCCGTGAGCTGTTCTACTGTGACGCTCATAGTTCTTGCGTGGACGTTCAAAGTCACCAGAATCACCATTGCTGTAGCCTCCACGGCGATCACCACCACGGTAACCACCAACAGGCCCACCACGTCTCGCTCCATCTCCTTCTTCTGAGCGTCTGTAGCCTCCACCATATCCGTTTTCATTGGCCGGAGCATCATTGTTCCTTGAATCCCTGTTGTAACCCCCACGTCCACCACGACCATAACCCTCTCCACGTCCACCACCACGACCTCCAACAGGAGCGTTCCTGGCCTCCCTCACTACTCAAATAAAAGAAAATGTAACATCTGATTAAATTAACGCAACAAAGTAACAAATTAACAAAATATATCTGGTTATGAAATTAAAGCAATCTAAGAGATTCATATCCCAAATCTACAACAACGACCAAACTAAGTGAAACTTAACTAAACAAGAAAATAATCACACTTTGTAGTCAAAACTATGAGTCTAATCAATAAGTTTGACTAAATCAAAAACTAAGCTATCAAATATATCAGTCTAATCTAGTATAAGACTTACCGGCTTGAGCAGGAGGAGGCGGCTTAGTCGGCATCTTACCAGACTTAGCCGGCTGAACCGGAGCAGCAACCTTCAATGGCTTAGCAGCAACAATCTGGCTGGGATCCTCTGCGTCATCGTCCAGGAGATCGAAAGGGTTCAAAGACGCCATTTTTTTCGGTCCGACTGAATCGAAAGAGAAACTGGTCACGAGATTATTTTGATTGGGTTTTTGTTTTGAAGATTGAAAAACCTTATTGGCTATACGAATCCATGAAGAAAAAATCAGAATCAGAATCGAAGATATGATTCAGACAGCGTTGTTTAGACGCCAAAGAGTGACTAACAGAAAAAAGAAAGAAGGTTAGAGAGAGAAGAGAACCAAAAAAACCCTAGGATGTATGTAAGAAAAACCTAATCTTCAACTTATAACAGATATCATGAACAATGGGCTTTTGCTCAAAAAAAAAAACAATGGGCTAATGAAATATTTATTGGGCCGGACCCATTAATATTAATGTTTTTTTTTTTTTGGTAGGCAACATTAATATTAATGTTTTTTTTTTTTTGGTAGGCAACATTAATATTAACTAGGTCGAAACCCGCGCTCCGCCGCGGGATAGTTTTTGAATATTATTTTTGTTTTAATATAAGTATAATTTATACAAATTTAAAAGAGTTTTAGGATTTGGTCTGTTATCTACCGCGTGATATTTTTTAAAATTAATTTTGTTTTAATATAAATATGATTATTATAGATTTAATTATTTAAACGACTTCTAAAATTTGGTTTTTTTTACTTTTTTTTGGGATTTTAGTAGATTCAGTTTACTATTTTATTATATATATATATACATACATTTATAAATACATGTTATATATTATTTTTACAAAATTAATATATTGTATTATCCCTACATATCAATATTTATGTATAATGCACGTGTTTACACAATATTTCACCTAATGTATTCAAACTCTTAATGTCATATATTCGTTTGTGTATTTTATTTTGTTTATTGTTTTCAATAGTTTATTAATTTTACTTTAAGAAAAAAAAGACTTATTTTATTATAAGAGCAAAAAAGAAAAAGAGTGAGAGTAAGAGAAAACAAAAAGATAATTTGGAGCCTATTAAATACTATCTTTTTGTGCTCAATTTGTGATCAGAGGATAATGGTTTGTGGTAAAATTACTTCTCAGGATTAATTTTGATTTTTATGTGGTTAGATTTTGTAGTTATAATTATAGTCTCTATTTCAATTCTTAGTTTTTTTGTAGTTTATACAAATTTAATCACCCAATTTTATATATTTTTTGTTGCTAGAAAAGTTATTTATTTCTCTTTTGTTATTTTTGTAAATTATAACTGTTTTGAATAATAGTTCCATGTATGTCAAAGTACAAATACATTTTTTTAATTTAATTTGGTTTTGTGTTATTCTTGGCTAACATTGATTTATATTTTATTTGTATTATATTTATATTTTATATGATGTATATAATAAGCCTTTTATAATATTTTTATAAGATGTATATGTTATAAGATGTTATAATATTTACTATGTTTATACTTTTTATAAACACCTCATAATATAAACTTATAAACATCTTATAAATATTTATAAAATATTATAAGGTTTTATAACCTTTATTAAAAAAATTTATAAGCTTTTATATCTTTTATAATATTTTTATATAAGATGTTTATAAGCTTATATAATATTTATAATATGTTTATAAGCTTTTTACTTATAAAACACATATACATCGTTCTAAAAAACCTTATATGATTTCTGTAAGCCGTTTTTATCAGATGTTTTATAATAATATACGATTTATTTAAATGTGTTTTATAAGTTAAATTGTAAGGCTTATGTAAATGTACATTTTTATTTTTTAAAGTGTAATTGATTTATTAATTTATATTAAATTTAAGCTATAATTTTAAACCTTTGTTTTTAGAAAATATTAATATAATGTTTATTTTTTAAATATTATTTTGTTTTAATATAAGTATAATTTGTAACAATTTAAAAGATTTCTAAGATCTGGTGTTTTATCTATACTTCGGAATATTTTTAATATTAATTTTTTTTAATATAAATATGATTGATATAGATTTAAAAGACTTCTAAAATTTGAGTTTTTACCTTTTATCATATTTTAGTAGATTTAGTTAGCTATTTTATTATATATATACAAATATTAATAAATATATGCTATATATTACTTTTACAAAATGAATATATTGTATTATCCCTCCATATCAAAATTTATGTATTATGCATGCGTATACTCAATATTTTATCTAATGTATTCAAACTCTTAATGTCATATTTTCAAGTGTGTATTTTATCTTATTTATTTTATTTTTTCAGTAATTTTATTTTACCTATAGAAAAAAACAAAATTCTTATTTTGATACTTTATTTATTTTATGACGATATATCATATGATACATATTGATACTTAATTTATTTTTAAAAATATGATTTTAATTTTTTGGAAAATGTGTTTTTTTAAAATATTATTTTGTTTTAATATAAGTATAATTTGTAACAATTTAAAAGATTTCTAAGATTTGGTGTTTTATCTATACTTCGGAATATTTTTAATATTAATTTTGTTTTAATATAAATATGATTGATATAGATTTAAAAGACTTCTAAAATTTGAGTTTTTACCTTTTATCATATTTTAGTAGATTTAGTTAGCTATATATTACTTTTACAAAATGAATATATTGTATTATCCCTCCAAATCAAAATTTATGTATTATGCATGCGTATACTCAATATTTCATCTAATGTGTATTCAAACTCTTAATATCATATTTTCAAGTGTGTATTTTATTTTATTTATTTTATTTTTTCAGTAATTTTATTTTACCTATAGAAAAAACAAAATTCTTATTTTGATACTTTATTTATTTTATGACGATATATACGATACATATTGATACTTAATTTATTTTTACAAATATGATTTTAATTTTTTGGAATTGGATTAATCATAAAATAAATGAAGTATCAAAATAAGAACATCAAAAGTCTTACGAAATTGGATCTTACTAAGTTTTGTGCTTTCACTTTGTAAAAACGAAAAGATAATGACCGAGAGTGTTGTTGTAGTAATTTAAATTGTAACACATTTTTTTTTCATCGATTCACTTTCGTTTTGATTTTCTTTAATATTTGAAATCAACAATGGGTTAAAATTGAAATATATAAAAGTTACAAATTAATTTGGAGGAATCGAAACAGATAAGACAATGAGACTGTGAAAACAAATCTAGAATATACAAATAGATGTTTATTTGGTTTTGTTTTTCTTTTAACAAAATTAAAAATATATATGTTATTATAAAAAAAATTGTAGTGTATATTGTTTAATTTAATTTGATTGGCTATAATTTTAATGAGGTATTTTTTTTAGTGAAAACATGATGTGGCAAGATGAAGAGATGATGTGTATTAATTGAAATGTTTTGATTGGTTTGTCTTTTTAATGATGTGTCAGCTCCAGAATACACCAAATTGCTGATGTGTCAGATGCTGGAGAGTTCCCTAGTGTTTTTATTGTATTGATGTTAGGCATTTCTCAAGCAAGCACTAGCAATTTTTTCCAGTTAACTAGTTTACTAAAAGAAATACACTTCCTCATCAAAGATTTACTTCAAAGCTTTTATTTAATTTTATCGTTTATGAACTCAAATAAACAGTTTTTGTACAAGCTGAGACTTTTTAATTGTACTAAATGTCAAAAGATTTGAAACAATGAGAAAATTTTTGTTATTTTTTTTAGCTAAAAATCAAAATGAATTGTAAAATTGTGACTTTTTTTTTAACTTCTTCTAAAAGTTTTTTCATTCTATAACCCTACAAACATGGATATCCATATGGATGGAGGCAATATAGTTTTATGTGAGTCAATTGACCACTATAAATTTTAAAAAATCAACTATATTTTTTAAAAATTAATTATAATAACAACAATATTTTATAGCTTTTGATCCCCATACAAAATTAATTTAACTACATGTGATAAAATTATCTACATACATTGAAACAAAAATATTATTCTTTTATAATGTATAAAAATTCTTTCATTTTGGTTGATTTTCAGTTAAATATTAGTTTATTAAAAATTAAGAATATTTTTTATATATAATGTATATTATTTTATATGTAAAAAAATTTGGACCCTTACAACAACAATTTTAGTTCAGCCACTAGATATCTGTCTTTTTCATTCTTCATTCATTTTTGTATGTTTTGTTGTATGAAAAACCCTAGGATGCTTTGATGTATGAAAGAGAAAAACCTAATATTCGAAACATATACGAGATATCATGCTAGCAAACAATGGGCTAATGGAAAAAATTATTGGGCCAGACCCATAATACTAATGTTAGGCATTTCTCCAATGTGTAGCAAGCACTAACAGTTTTTCCTAACTAAAATCTCTGAAAAATAAATCATCAACTAGTTTACTAAATACACTTTCTCATCGAAGATTTACTTCAAAGCTTTTATTTAGTTTTATCGTTTATGAACTCAAATACAATTTGTGTACAAGCCGAGGCTTTTTAATTGTACTAAATGTTAAAGGGTTTGAAACTATCAGAAAAATTTGGCCATTTTTTTATTCCTAAATATCTAAAATGAATTTTAAAATGGTGAATTTTTTTGACCTCTATAAATTTTGAAAAATCAACTGTATTTTCTTAAGAATAATTATAACAACGCCAATATTTTATAGTTTTTGATCTCTACACATAGTTAATTTGACTACAAGGGATAAAAATTGTCCACATACATTGAAACAAAAATCTTATTATATAAAGTATGGTTTTCAAAGTTAATAACTCGCATGATCGTGACACGTGTCACGTCTATCGATCAGATGTTGACATGTGTCAAAAAAAATTAACTTTTTCATTAACGAAATAGGAAAACAAAAAAAAAAGAATATATACATATACTAATTTATATATCTAATTTCTAAAATTTGTTAACTTTTTTTTTTTTAACTAAAAAGGAAAACTAACAGTTTCTCTTTACATGTGTTAATTGTTTTTTATATCATTTAGTATAGATATTAACAAATAAACAATAACCGTTGAAGTTTTAAATAATAATATAAATTATTTATATAACATTGATTTAATTGGATAAAATTGTATCTATCATCGTAATATAGTGTTTTATTCGTCAAATGAAAACACAAAATTCTTACAAAAAATAATGAGCTTATAAGAACGAACGAATATTTGATAAGAATATTAGTGTGGTTATACTTATATTTTATTTTAAGAATTTTAACGCATGTACTCATAATTATAAACACAAAATATATGGGAAATTGGCTTATAAGATTGAATTTTCGATTACTTAATGAGAATGCTAATATATATTTTTAAATAATTTATTTATTAATTTTAACTCATTTAAAAATAGTTTGCCATGGGTAAAACTAACTTATGAGATTACGTTATATAGAAAAACTATATTTTAAACAATGTTTGTTTTCCATAATTTTTGTGGATTTCTATTTTTTAATAAATTTTTTGTTATTTTTTAATTATATTTAATATTAACTAAGTTATAGATTTGATATGGTATACATACGATTTTGATATAAAATTATTATTAGCAGTTTATCCATTAAGATGAACTATGAAGACTTAAAATTAAGTTTATTATGATGCTATAGATAGTTTATTACGATGAAATAAATAGTTAAAATGTATAGTAAAATGGAATGTGTAAAATTTAATTTTTGTTTAAAACAAAAAATACTAAATCATTAAATATTAGGAAAAGTGTATGAATTATTATTTATTATTCAAAATTCAAATATCATTTTAATTTTTATATATTACACCCGCCTATTTAGGCGGGCCTTATCTAGTATTATATAATGTATAAAAACTCTTTCATTTTGGTTGATTTTCAGGTAAATATTTCATTTTTTTTATGGAAAGTCTAAACAAAGTTAATAATATTTTTTATATATTTTCTTTTTTTCCGTCAATAATATTTTTTTATATAATGTATATTATTTAATATTAAAAAAATTGACCTCTACAACAATAATTTTTAGCTCTGCCACTGGATATCAAATTTGTGTACAGATTGAAGCCTTTTAATTGTGCTAAATGACAAAGGTTTATAGAATGGTGAGTTTTAACATGATTATATTTTTTAACTAATTTTTCAAAATTTCCAAGTACAGAAAATATTATAATAGAAGTGACTCTAGTTTAGACATTTGGGTTGAGGTCCCTCCACCAAATCAAACCCGTTAAAAAGCAAGTTTTAGGAAATAATCTATTCCGGTTTACAAAAAAAAAAAAAAAAAAAAAAGGAAATAATCTATCTACTTAACATTTTTGAAGTACAAATTTGCTCTTTCCAATCGGGTCGGATTTTTTTGTGATTTTGACCCGGAAATCTTCAATCGGATCTTTCCTTATTTTTTGGTAAATTAAAAACGAAAATACATAATAAAATCTAAATTATATATATTTTCTCAACTAATTACTATATCTAAACTATTTATGTATGGTATATTCTTTACAATTTTTTTAGATTAGGAAATCAAATATAATAATTTAATGCTAATATAACAAATTTGAGCTAATTTTCCTAAAACCTCTCCACCTAATTTAAACATAAATATATGATTCTTATTTCACTTTTATTTGATCTTATATTTATATTATTTTGAATTATTATAAAATATATATAGTTAATAAATTTTAGTTTTTTTTTTCTGCATATGTTATGATTCAAATTTTTTAAAACAGACATATATTACTCAATCGATGAGAAAAAAAAGTATGTGTGTAATCTATATTAACATTTTTTTAGAACAAATTGCACATTTAATCAAATCGTTTTTTTTTATTCTGACCTGAAATTGAGTCATTCAGATCTTTTCTTAATTTCTATAATTATCTAAATTGAGACAGTATACCACGGGTGAGATCCTAAAATTAACAAATCAAAATACAATTATTTAGTATTTTAAGATACAATTATAAATTTTTTTTATGGGTTGGTCCAAAAACACATACTAATTTAAAAATCTATATTATGGAAACCATTTGAAAATAAACTTTTAAATTGACTCGAATTATATGTCTTTTAAATAAAAGTGTTATTAAAAAAATAACAAAATGATGTTTAATTTCACATGACAGGAGTATATGGTGGGACGGGTTTAAGTCGATATTAATACGGGACAATATACCACGGGTGAAATCGTAGAATTAACAAATCTAAATTTAATTATACAATCTTAAACAGTAAACAAAACAAATACAACTTAAAATATTTATTTTTTATATACAACACATATGACCCGCGGTGTACAACAAAAAATATTATACACAACAAATTCATCAATTTATAAAAAGATAAAAAAAATGAAATAATTAACCCGCGGTGTACCGCGGGTCATATCCTAGTTCCATATTTATTGCCACGACACTACGAACTTTTGTAGAACACACTGATTGCCTATCTATATTCGCAGACCAACCTAGCTGGAGATAAATTCTTTTGGCCCGTCTCGGAGTGGACTTGATAGAGCGGGTTGACCCGTTTCGACCGACCAAGTCATAGTCTTGTCCAAAAAAAAAAACAGAAAGTGACGAGAAAAATCAGAAGATGACGACAGTAGACGAAGGTTATTCAGCTAAGAAATGGCTTCCACTTGAAGCTAACCCAGATGTTATCAATCAGGTATTGGTTCAGTCTCCAATTCCCCAACTTTCCCTTCTTATTCCTCAAAGTATTCATCGATTCTCGTCTCCGATCATTGGAGAAAACGTTTTGAAATCGGGAAGATTATTAGTTTTTTTTTTTCATTGATTTTTCGTGTCGGGTCATTACAGTATCTTTGGGGACTTGGTCTTTCTCCTGATGAAGTAGAGTGCAATGATGTGTTTGGCTTAGACGATGAACTTCTTGAGATGGTTCCAAAGCCAGTTCTTGCTGTTCTCTTTCTTTACCCCATCACCAAAAAGGTCTCTCCTTTGTTTGTAGTAATCCATCTATCATTCTGATAAATTTTTGCTTTAATTGATTGAAAAACCCTTCATTTTTGCTCTGTAGTGTGAAGAAGAGAGAATCCAGCAAGACAAAGAAATTAAGGAAAATGTGAGTTTCTGTTTGATTCTATGAAAAAAGGAACCTTTGTCTATGTAGGGTAAGTCTCCTTCATGTTTTGTGTGGATGAATGATAGGTACATCAGAGTGACAAAGTCTACTTCATGAAACAAACTGTTGATAATGCTTGTGGAACCATTGGGCTCCTTCATGCTATTGGGAATATAACCTCTGAGATCAAACTCTGTGAGTTATCTTCAGGCTTTCTTTGTGCTTCTTCTTTAATCTTTGGATATGAATCCTCATCGATTATCACTTTGTCCTTTCTTTTTTTAGCCGAGGGATCGTTCTTGGATAGATTCTTCAAATCCACTGCCAATATGACTCCTATAGAGGTGTTTCTCTATCTTGTCTTTCTTCTCTATATTTGATCTTTCTTAGAGTGTTTTCTTTGTGTTTAATGTTTCTGATAGCGTGCAAGGTTTCTTGAGAATGACAGTCAAATAGAAGATGCCCATTCTATAGCTGTTATAGCTGGTGATACAACGGTAACTTCTCATCTCCCGTTGATGCTAATGTATTTGTGACTAGTTCATTTAGATCTTACATTGTTTTTTTTTTATGTTTACCCATCTTCAGGCTTCAGACGAGGTGGACACGCATTTCATCTGTTTAGCTTGTGTAGATGGTAACAAATTTTCATATCAACACCAAAATTAAAATACTGAAAATCAAACTCACTTCCAAAAGTAGCACTAAATTGTTACACTCTATAATGCAGGTGAGCTCTATGAACTTGATGGAGATAGGGCAGGGCCAGTTTCACATGGTGCTTCCTCTCCAGCTACTTTGTTGCAGGTACTATAAACCCTTCACTCTTTAAGTTTAGAGTTATCAAAATGTCGAAAGAATCAAAGAAAATGCAATGGTTGTGTATCAAACAATACCTATATATATACTTGAATAGCTTTGATGTATATCTTGGGGTGAATATTATACTCGCAGGACGCAGCGAAAGTGATAAAGACAATAATCGAGAAGAACCCAGATTCTCTCAACTTCAATGTGATAGCCATCTCTAAGAAAGCCTGAGGGACTGTTCTTAAGAAGCAAAGCTCCTAAGTCTTGTTTTTGAGTTTATGACTTACTCGTTTTTTTTGCTTTTGTATATTCTGAATCTTCTGGTTTAGCATATTTGTAGAACAACTACTTTCCTTGAAGAGTGCCATTTTATTGATATTGATAATCGATCGACCTATGTTTTTTAGTCAATAAACATATTAAAATGGGCCAAGGCCCGTTAATAGCACTAATGGGCTTCACTCTCGGATTTTGAGGGATTCGTATCTTGGAGCCGAAGTGTTTTCTTATAGAAAGAACAAAGATTGATTTCTTCAGCAAAATTCGATCGAAAGTGACGAAGAAAGATCCGAAGATGGCGACCGCAAGCGAGAGTTCTAAGAGATGGCTTCCACTTGAATCTAACCCAGATGTTATGAATCAGGTATTGCTCCACTCTCCTATTTTCCCTTCTGGTTCCGCAATCTACTCCTCCGATCACCGGGATTTCGGAATCGGGAAGAATCTAGGTCATTTATGTGTGTTTTTATCCGTATCGGTATGTACAGTATCTTTGGGGACTTGGTCTTTCCCCTGATGAAGTAGAGTGCAATGATGTGTTTGGCTTAGACGACGAACTGCTAGAGATGGTTCCAAAGCCTGTTCTTGCTGTTCTCTTCCTTTACCCCATCACCACAAAGGTTCTCTTCTTTTTTATTTTCAATCGAAACCCATTTATGATTCTGTGTATTGATTCAATTTAAAACCTTGTGATCTTAGAGTGAAGAAGAGAGAATCGAGCAAGACAAGGAAATCAAGGAAAAGGTGAGTTTCTGATCGTTCTACATCAAAAAGAACCTTTGTTTCTGTAACATAGTTCTTATTTTGATTCTGTGTTGATGAATGATATAGGTGCATAGTGATAAAGTTTACTTCATGAAACAAACTGTGGGTAATGCTTGTGGAACCATTGGCCTTCTTCATGCTATTGGGAATATAACCTCTGAAATCAAACTCTGTGAGTTTTTCAAACTCTTTACGTGTTTCTTCTTTAATCGTAGGATATGAATTCTTATTGATTGTTACTTTCTCCTTGCATATAAGCCGAGGGATCGTTCTTGGATAGATTCTTCAAATCTACGGCCAACATGACTCCCATGGAGGTGTTTTTTCTTATCTCTATATTATTAACTATTAACAATTCGGAGTGTTTGCTTTGCGTCTAATGTTTCTATGAAAAATTTGATAGCGTGCAAAGTATCTTGAGAATGACAGTCAAATAGAAGATGCTCATTCTGTAGCTGTTTCAGCGGGTGATACAGCTGTAAGTTCTCACCTCCCATTGATGCTAATTTATCTGTGTAACTTGTTCATTTAAGTGTTACCTTGGTTTTAAACTTTTTCCCATCTTCAGGCTTCAGACGATGCAGTCACGCATTTCATCTGTTTAGCTTGTGTAGAAGGTACTGAATTCTCACATCAACCACCAAAATGAGAATAGTGAAATCAAACTCACTTCTGAATTGACACTAAATTATGGCACTCCTCCTTTCATTATCATATAACGTAGGTGAGCTCTATGAACTTGATGGAAGAAAGGCAGGACCGATTTCACACGGTGCTTCCTCTCCAGCTACCCTCTTGAAGGTACTATAAAAAACCTTCATTCTTGAATCTTAATTTCACCTGAGTGTTGAAGAATCCGGGGAATATGCAATCGTTTTGTTTTAGACGAACTGGTAAACATTTGCATTTGTTTGATGTATATCTTGGGTGATATTAAACTTTGCAGGACGCAACGATAGTGATAAAGAAGATGATTGAGAAGAACCCGGATTCTCTGAACTTCAATCTGATAGCTATCTCTAAGAGAACCTGAGGCTCTTATTAGAAAGCGAAGCTCCTAAGTCTTGTTTCTGAGTTTGTGACTATTTTATATCTTCGGATTCTGCTTTTCTATGTTCTGAACAAATCGCAGGTTGATGATCATGGTTTAGAGAATGCATTTCTAGATGAGTAACACTTATGAATCGAATCACAATATCTGTAGATTCGTATTGAATTATTGTCTCGTAGCGTTTTTAAAGCAGAGTCAATAATTCTCAATATAACTAGTTATCTATGTCTGGTTGTGTGAAAGTATAACTAGTTAAAAACTTATACAAGAAAAAAAAAACTATTTACTAACTAGTTAAAAACTTATTCAAGGGGAAAAAAATAACTATTTATACAACATGAAACGTTTTGGTGATAATTTTAGCTGCAAAGAAAAAAATACAGTATAATACCAATAAAGAAAAATATCTTAAAGGAAAAAGGTAACTGATGAAGAAAAAATTAACTGAGAAACTTTATATCCTGAAATATTCCTCATCAAATTTGAAGCAGCTTATCTTGTTCTAACATTTATTAGTTTCCTTTGTTCATGTTTTACATTGCTTTATATTTGGTTTATCCACTTTGAAGGATAATTTAGTCCTAAGTGACAATTTAGTAAAAAAAATATAGATGGACAAATCCAATTTCAAAAATTCGATTCTATATTTTTGAAAAACTTAGAACAAATCTTCGAAAGAATTTTGTCTTTCTAACTTTTCCAAGAAAATTGAAGAAATGAATCCAATAATAACATGTGCAGCTTGCAAATATCTTAGAAGAAGAAGATGCCCTCAAATTTGTATATTTTTTTTTCTCACCTATTTCCCTCCTAGTATGAATATCCCCCAAAAATTTAAATATATGGAGCTAGCAATGTTGCCAAGATTCTTCAGGTAATATCTTGATATATCTTCTTACTTTCTTTTTCCTCATTTATACTTCATACATTCTATGTGAAATCAATCATTCTAATTAAGATAGTTGTTGTCAAAAAAAAAAAATTAAGATAGTTGTTAGACTATTCAAAGTCATCGGTGGAAAGGAGAAGCTCGAGTTTACGTATAAAACTCTTCTAATATTAAAATAAAATAATTTTAAGTCAATGTTCTAGTTGAGTTGAGATATTGGATATTTCATGCAAGGAAAATATCGGAATAAATAGTTTCGAATGTAACAATATATACCTTCATGAATGAGTTTAGCAAATTTTAAAAGTGAATAGATAAATTTCAATCGATAATTTAGATGAATATATATTGTGAAACATTTTGTATTGCAGTATATTTCACACTGAGATGGATAAATAAACAGATCGGTTTGGGTTCGTTCCCACAAGATTGACTTCTGCTATTAATTGTTTATCGATTTGGTTACATTTTTTTAAGAAAATAATACTATTGTGGCTGTTATCTTTCTATCAGATTCTCGTGTTTGGTCGTATGTTTATATCAGTTTGTGTTTGATTTAGAAGTTAATTAGTTCTGTGACTCTGTCTTTTTCTCCAATAATTGGGTTGTATAACTTTTATATATACATCATACATTTAATGTTTACATCAAAAATACAGCACACAGAATTTAAATTAGTTGAAAATTAATATTTAAAAATACTAATATTTATTAACGAACCAACTAATTCAAACTGTGGTGACGTTTTTTGGCTTAAGCATTACCAAAGACAATACTCATTTATTTCAGAAAGTCAAAAATTTTCTGTGTTTCTCTTTTATGTACATGTATCTGTTCAGTGTTCACAAATATCTTATTCTACTGTATATTACAAATTCAGGAAATTGAATTTTCTAACAAATATTATGATTTTCCTAAACAAAATTGATCCCACTTGTAATGGGAATGATTTGTTTTCTACGAATGTTATAGTTTCCTTCAGAAAAAAGTTTGATCCCACTACTAAATGGAATGATTAGGAAGTTAAATATAATAATAAACGAATTTCTTATTAACGTTCTTCCTTTTTGAAGAATAATAATCCAACAAAGAAAAATCAAAATTATAAAACCAATAAATGGTCGCCACGTGTAACTTCAACAATCTCGCACTTCACCGTCAATCCCTTATCCGTCCCACCACCGGCGGCCACCGTTCTCCTCTTCTTCGGAGCTCCGTTTTCGGAAGAAGAAGAAGAAGAAGATCTCTTGGACTTGATCCGAACCGGGTCGGGTTCTCCTGAATTAACTCTCAATGGAAAATTCAACAAAGCGCGGGAACCACGCATCCTGAAAGCAGCTCTGTCGTAAGCTAACGCCGCGTCCTCCGCCGTCTCAAAAGTCCCTAACCAAACCCTAGCTCCGTTCTTCGCCGGATCTCGAATCTCCGCCGCAAATTTCCCCCACGGCCTTTGTCTCACTCCTCTATAATGCTTTCCCTTCGCCGCCGTCACCGCCAAAACCGGACTAGTCGTCTCCTTCTTCACCGGAACAGAATCCACCGCCGCGAAAATCTCCGGAGTCTCGATCTTAACCACCGGAAAAGAGCTACGATCTTCGTCAGAAGATGAAGAAGACGGTTCCCAACCGCCGTGAAAAGCGTCGTTGAGGATACCGTAAACTAACATATCCTCAGAATCGTTTTCTTTCAACGGCAAATCTCCCCAGCTCTCGGTGAAGCAAGGATACAATTTGCTGAAGCTAGGGTTTCGTCCGTACACCGGTTTAACGCTCTGACCGGTTACACAAGATTGAGTCACCGAACTCGCTATCGACTCACTGAGTCGCGCCTCCGATTCTCCTAGTAAGTGTCGTCGTATGGACTCAAGAAAAGCGTAGTCTGATTGAGAGTCCGCCGTCATCGACATAACAGAGAGAGATTTATTAAGAATGTTTTTTTTTGGTTCTTGTTGAGATTTCAAAATGTCTGGTGTGAATGAAAAATAAAGAGTATGTTATATTTATATATAGAGAGAGTAGATTGAGATAAAAAGGTTCATGAACCTGGAAAATATTGAATTTTTGACAAAGACTTGTAAATTATTATTTTAAGCATGTAGTGGGTAATAAAAAAAGTTGAAAATATGAAAGTAATGGAATTTTCTTATTGCTATGAAGGTTCGTGAATTAAACACGTGCGTTTTATCCAAATAAGACACAACTGAAAGTAGCCGTCAAGGATGATGTCACGCAATCTACGGAAGCAATGTTGTGATTGGTCTCGTCTCTCTCAACTTGTCTTTGGCTTTTTGTCTTAAGGTGACTTTAGCGTTTGGTTTTTTTTTTTTCGTTTTTTTCCCAACTTGAACCGCCGGTTTACCGAAACAATTCAACAAATCTAATATAAAATCAGCTTTGTTGATCAAACAAGGTTATACCATTTTAGAATCCTAGTGAAGTTTTGTTAAATATAGTCTTGTATAGATGGCAAGTATATCTGTAAAAAAAATATAGCAAGTAGTTATACAAAATCTAACTTATCTTTTTTTTTTGAAGTTACAAGAGAGAAAAGATTAAGATATGCGAAAAAAAAAAAAAAAGATTAAGATATGCGTTCCAAATGTTTGTACGATTAGGAATTTAGAGATTTGGTTTAATGATCACTCTAAAGCAAAGACCACTGACACTCCTCAGTAGTTCGCTTGAAACAAAGAATGCAACTTCGTCATCATCATTCACATGGGTTTGTACTGTTGAGGTTAAGCAATAGGTTGGGAGACAATATCAGCTAGCCACACCAAACTAGTAGTTTAACGAAGAGAGAGGCTCTGAAAACAACTCGAGTAGAAAAGCAAGTTGTGTGAACCTTTTTGTCTTTATAAAGAAATGTGTACCTCTGTTTACAGTGTGAGAAGTTTGTAACATGAGATATTTGTAAACTTTAAATGCTCGAATTTGAGCAAACATTTTTTTTAGTGGATTTTCAAAAATATCTGCTACAAATTTTCTATTTCTAGCATCTTACTCCCTTCATTTCACAAAGAGTGTCATTTTGACACATTTCACACAAATTAAGAAAACTTTAGATTATACATATATGCCCCTATTTAATAAGTAATTAATGATTTAAATTCAATAAAATGTAGCTTTGGGTTAAGGGTAAATTAAGAAACTTAGTGTAAAATTCACATTGAAAATGTAGAATGACACTCTTTGTGAAACAAAAATAAAACTCTAGAATGACACTCTTTGTAAAACAGAGGGAGTATTTTTTAAACAAACGAGAAATAAAGAGAATTTGATGGAAAACGTGATTCAAGTTTATTCAAACATTACTTATTAAGACTTCATCTCTCTAGGTTTTACATCTCACATTGTACAACCAAATTTAATTTTTTGTTTGACACCAGATACAATAATAACTACAAATTTATACTATGACTCCTTAATAATGACTTACAAATTTCCGCCAGAAAAAGATAGTTCATGTATGATTAACCGAAAATTAAAAAAAATTTTAAAAAATATCGGGGAAAAAACCGTCAATACCTCACCAGACGAAAGAAAATATATAATTTCTCTCATGTCGAGCTAAACTAAAAGTTTAAACTTAAAAGTGAATGGGTGGGTCTCTCGCATTTGCCAACTTGCAATGAAGACTCCTTCGAGGAAGGATGGTAAGATGATGATTTTGTACATATTACTCAATTGCATTGCCTCTATTGGTTCAAAATCACATCAACCTCTATATTCTTATCGTTGTTGGAAAATCTAACTGAGGACCCCATTCACATTGGGTTTTAATTCCACGTCAGAAACATAAATTGGACAATCAACTGTTTAAGAAACAAAAAAAAAGTTGTAAAACATATATTGTATGTATTCGATTTCATGGTTTAGAGCATCTCCAACCCACCTCTATATTTGTCTCTAAACTCTATTTTAGAGGCAAATTTGCTCCAACCCACCTCTATTCTCACCTCTAAAATAGAGATCTCTATTTTTTTCTCTATATATAGAGGTGAGAATAGAGAATCTCTATTTTTTCCTCTATAAATAGAGTTAAACTTTTTAGAGGAAAAAATAGAGGAACACATTGGAGTAAAAATAGAGAAAACTTACCTCTATTATAGAGATAGAGCTAAAAATAGGGAAATACATTGGAGATGGTCTTAGTGAACACTTATTGTCTAACCTATTTATTTAAATCAGTTACATATATATTTTCTGGACGTTTTCTGATATTGTAGATTAATTTTAACGGTTTTCTATATTTTATGTGACTAATTTATTCTGAAACGTTTGATTTATATTTTTTTTTATGGATAATTTTTTCACATTGAAGACTTATTTATATTGTTGATTAAAAATCTGGTAATTAATCTAGCTTTGCTGAAACTTTTTGGTTTTTAATTAAAAAAAATCAAAGAGTTAAAGAAAAGAAACGAAATGATAAAATTTCTCAAAAGTATATGAATGACGAGATCGCATGTTTATCACCAACAGCAACAACTAAATCATACAGCATATGGTTTAGTAACTATGAACCGAACAAAATTTCATCGCTAATGGCTATATAACAAACAACAACAAATGTCATTAATCACTAATTCACTATTGATAGTCGCTATTAGTAATTGCTCATGACGACTTCCAAAATGGACATACCCATCATAAAACGGTGGCCTATAGAGATGTCAGATGAGTTTCGAGTGAATCCAGAGCAGCTACCATTGTTTTAGATTATTGACAAAAGGAATTTTTATATATATAAGCATTACTGTCCAATTTAATTCAGCTGCATTACATCATTGTCAAAAGATAATGAAAATTCATAGATTATTATGATGTCGTTTTCTAGGTTGAAACGTCTCCAAAACTTATAGATTTATTTGGTTGTAGATAACTATTAACCAAGATGTTCTATAATTAATCAAGATGTGATGGATAGAATCTCCCATTTGAGTTACATAATTTTTTATGGGTCTAAACTAGAAATTGATAAATTTGGCGTCTCGCAAATGCCTCTAATGACAAAAGAACCCAAATTTCTATAGTCATCCGTTTAGATTTTGTTTGGAATTCCCCTAATTAAAAAAAAAAAAAAGAAAAAGATGTTCTTAATTTAGAACACAATTAGATTTGATGTGATTAAATTTTCGAGAAAACTGATTTTTCTCTTGTCTTCCATTTTATTTGTATATTTTGAATATTCATAATTATCAATTTTCGTAATCATCAGAATCTATGGTTTAAAAGATACATTAAAAATTTAGAATATATACGACATTAGATTACATACTTAATATTTAGTCTCTCTTTATTTATTGAGTTTAATAAAAATGGTACACTTTGACAAAAAAAAAAAAAAAAAAATGGTACACATTTGAAAGACGGGGAAGCATATGAGTCTATGACACATCAGCTTTGAAATTGACCAAATCCGGTCGTGTAAGACTTTTTGACCATTAGAATTTTCAAACTTTCTTCTACAAACATCTGTGAACGTGAAAACAAACCCACACGTGCATTCCCACTGCAATTGAGTTCTTCGACAAAGATTATATACTCCCTCCGTTTCGTTTTAGTTGTCTTTTAAGGTTTTCTCACACAAATTAAGAAAAACATTAAATTTTCTGTTTTACCCTTATTAATATATTTTATAAAAAATTTCATTGGCCAAAACATTAAAACAATAGGGATAATACTGGAATTTTTACCAAACATTTGCATTGAAAACCTAAAACGACAACTATTACGAAACAAAATTTAAGTCCTAAAACGACAACTAAAACGAAACGGAGGGAGTACTTTTGTTTTTGACAAGTTTTTTTCCTCAATTCGTTAAAAAATTTGTTGGTACGTTGAAAGATTAATATAAAATAAGAAAACTATCCTTTTTTATACATAAGAAAACTATCCTTTTAAGTTCTTAGGTTCTCATATTTAATTAACAAACCATAAAAACATTCTTATAAAAAAAAACCATAAAAACATTTTCTTTAAAATATTCGTACTTTTGACAATTTTCAGTTTTAAAGTTGAAACTGTACTCCATATAAAAGTGAGATAAATGTAATAAATGCACGTGTTCAATCATATGTTTGAAAGAGACAAGATACATGCATATACGTTCACGCCTAAGACCATTTTTTTATAAAAAGCTAAGTGTTTGATTACTTTACCCACAAGTATTTAATAGTATAGTAGTATAGTATACTTTCGCAGAAATTACAAATTCCAACTTAATTGTAATATACTGTTCAGAAAGAATAATTATTTATGTCCAATTGCTAAAATTAAATATTTTATTAAGGAAGTTTTTTTTTTTTTGGACAAACTGAGATTTCATTCAAATTAGAAGAGTTTTGCCTCTATGAGAAGAGGATACAAAAGGCTACTAAGAGCCAAACAAATCAAGCTAACGACTAAAACGTTAGTCGAGCAATTAAAAAAGCTTAAACAAAAGCAATAACTCAAAGCGAGACATAAGGATAGAGGGGAGCTAACAAGCTCAACCCAAGAAGCAACCAATCCAAGACAACCGATTTCAGCACCATCCTTTGCTTCCAAGGAGGCCTTCAAGCCACGAACTTCCGCTAGCAACGCGAATGTGACAATACGACGGACAAATCCATCGAAGAGGGGAACTTCAATGACGATCGAAAACCACAGACCCATATCACATAGAGATGAGAGAGTGAGCCTAGCTTCACCAAAGAAGATCTTCTTCCCTACAATAAATCTCTTTCCACCAAAAGGGGCATTTGAGAGGACATAAAACTCCATAAAGGAGTAAACATGACAAAGAATGTCAAACCACAACCAAGGCAAACTAACCATGGAAGTCTTGTATACTACCATTGCATTCATAAAGGCAAGTGTGACCAAAACAGGAACACAAATCCATCGAATGAGGCTAACGATTCCATTATCTAACCAACAAATCAAATAGATTGTAGGGACAGAGCTTAAAAATCCAGAATCAAACCTGGTAGGGACGTGAGCCGGATCAAAACCGGAATAGAACCTGCATACTGCAGTAAAGGAGAGCCTAAGGGCAAAAGAAATAACCCAAGAGGATCCAACGGAAGGTGACAAGGCACCCGACGAAGCCACCAAAGGGAAAGAGCTCAGATCTAAAAACTTAGAAATCTGACTTGACGGAGACAAAGAGGGGACAGAACAAACCGACAAGGACCACGAGACCACACCGGCGGAGGTCTGTACTAGCGAGGGATCGGGAGGGTCTGGAGGTTCTGGCGGATCCGGTGGATTAGGAGGAATCAGCGACAGAGCCGATGCCGGTGGACGCCTCAGTCTTAAACAAGCACACAGATCCTTTGAAAACGAAGGAGAAGGTCGCAGAGACGCCGTAGTCGGAGGTCGAGCCATTTGAACAGAAAAAGGAACCACGCCACTAGAAGCCGAAGCACTCCGGAGAGAAGCCGGAAAACACGCCGGAAAGGACTCCGGTAACTGATGAGGATGGCCTGAAAGAGTGAGAGCCGTCGCCGATTAGGAGAGGAGAACGCCGGAGGAGCTTCGCAGGTGAAGAAAAGCCATCTCCTAAATCAAGCTAACAGCGCCTCGAAAAGCGTGTCTGAGAGAGAACTTCTCTAGGGCATTTTATTAAGGAAGTTATTGAATAGTTTTGTTGAATGGAATTCGAGAAGAACAATTTAAGTATGAACTAGTATATCATACGATCAAACTTTTCGTTCTTATTTTATTAAATGAACTAGGACCGCGCGCGATCACACAATTAGGACATGTTGTGTTGTGTAGTGGTTAAAACTAATCTCGTCTAACTTCGTTAAACGTTTTTAAAGGCTTAAAGATCCCCTCTAGGCTCTAGATATAATTAATAACAATAAGAATCATCAGCTTCTTAATAAAACAAAGCGTCTAAAAAATTAGTTTAAACTTAAATACGTAACGTAAACCTAGTTTTGCAAACATGTGGCCCTCTAAGTTTTCATTTGTTGTGGATTTAGGCAATTGGTTGTTTTCTAAGTTCTAACACATAAAGCACAACTCGATCTGGTGTTACGTACGGTACCATTATCCCAGTTTAAATATGTATAATGCATGTTGTTATATAAAAAAAAAAGACTAATAAGAAGAAATCAATCAATAATCGATTATTTATAAGTATTAGATTTTTTTTTCTTCAGTTTTTGACATCCTAGATTTCCAGAAAATCTTGAAAAAAACTATTTTTTTTTGTTTACAAATATAATAAACACGAATACTTTATAATTATCGAGAACTATATTTATATGAAAATAAATGTTGAAACAAAGATATTTGTAAGAACATACGTACGTAGGCACAAAGAGCTGAACTAGACATGTAAAGTATTTACAAATGTTTTAAATAAGTGAAAGCGTTGATTTGAAAAATATATTAGAAGATTCATTTAAACCTACATTTAGGATAAAACTAAGCTTGAGCAATACCAATATGTTCATTCATATATATAGATACTGACATACTGATATTAGAAAATTGCATGTGTTGGTAGGCTTTGTAAATTATAGCTTCAAGTATGAATCAATATCTATGATGAAGTAAGCACCTTCGTATGAAGACGTAAAACGGATATATCACGTTCGAAAGCAGCAAACAAAGCCAAAAGTGGGCACATGGTTTGTTGTTGTGTAGAATATATTTTTTGGTTATAATTATTGTAGAATAATTGAGACTAGAACTTGATTAATTAGTATTACGATTCCGCTAATTACGCAGCCCTTATCTTTCGAGTTTAGAACTGTAATATTACGATTCCTCTGATAGTCTAATTATGCATGCATTTTTGTGTGTTTGCGTTTTAGTTTGTGTTTTATACGTCAGATAATATCTATTCACTTTCAAATGAAGCGATAATCTTATAATTTTGTAGATTGTACCCATAGACACAAAACACAGTAAAAAGATATATTTTGATCGATCGGTGTAATGTTATACTATTTTCTGCAACATTTAATTGAACAACATTTAGTTTTCAAAGTTTATACAACAGCTAGAAATGAACATATATAGTGTTAATCATTGAAATAAAAACAGCTTTCTGGTCTGAGATGTAGAAAACAAAGATAGTTGTAATGGATATTTTATCCCGAAAAATATTCTGTAGATATTGGATTGAACAAATTACTGGTTGAACTTGAAATTATTGGATTTTAAGAAAATGTTTTTGGGCAGCAATACGAGAATTCCATGGGTCTTTGTCTACCAAATGTTGGCGACCATACAAAAACATCATCCACAAGGAGAATCTAGTCTTCTTAACTAAAATATTTTTTTTATCCAAAAGCAAAAATAACATCCACGTTCGTGAAAGTTTCAATAAAAACGTGTGTTTATCCAAACATTCAGTTGATACGGCCGATAACTTTTGATATTGCAAATGCATGCATGTGAACAAATTCTCACAACTAGTAGTAAGTTAATCAATTATTAACACGAAAAAGGTACTTTATAATAGTTATTACTAAACCGTACTAATATTTCGATAAACATGAATCGATAAAATCTTGTCTAATCTGCAAAAAGAATAATATAAAATAGCCAAATGTAATTAGCTCGCAGCCTAATTAAATATTTGTTTTTTTTTCTCAGCTGCCATTGCTGAACCACACGATCAAACCGTTGACTAGGGGTTTATAATCTAATCAAACGGTGTAAAACCGATGAAACACGCAAGTTAGATACACCCTTCCGCATCTGATTATTTATATTTAAATTTAAAAAAATCTGAGGATGTTGCCTTGAAAGAGTCTCTCATTGACTTGACTCTCTCCTATAAATACCTTCCCACTCCCTTCTCCACTGTCAATTCAAATTAAACCGTTCTTCCTTAACCATCTTCTTCCTCTGTTTCCTCCAAAATATTCAGAGAATTTGAAATCTCATTCAATGGCTACACCAAACGAAGTATCAGCTCTTTTCCTCATCAAGAAGTATCTTCTCGACGAATTGTCTCCGTTGCCTTCTGCCACCACCAACCGATGGATGAACCAATCGGATTTTTCCATCTTCGGTTCATCTGCTCATGATTTCACGTCATTTCATCAAACCGGTTTAGAGTTTTCTGAATTTGAAACCAAACCGGAAATAATCGATCTCGTCACACCCAAACCGGAGATTTCTGATTTCGAGCTTAAACCTATAATTGATTCACAAGTGAAATCTGAAATTCCACTAGAATCGAACGATTCCTTCACGTTCCAATCGAATCCTGCTCGCGTTATTGTTCAATCCAATCGAAAACCGCCGTTGAAAATCGCGCCACCGAACCGAACCAAGTGGATTCAATTCGCAACCGGAAATCCTAAACCGGAACTTCCCGTACCGGTTGTAGCAGCAGAAGAGAAGAGGCATTACAGAGGAGTGAGAATGAGGCCGTGGGGGAAATTCGCGGCGGAGATTCGAGATCCGAACCGTCGTGGAACTAGAGTTTGGCTGGGGACGTTTGAGACGGCGATCGAAGCGGCTAGAGCTTACGACAAAGCAGCGTTTAGACTCCGAGGATCAAAAGCGATTCTGAATTTCCCGCTTGAAGTTGGCAAGTGGAATCCACGCGCTGAAGATGGTCATTGCCTGAACAACAAACGGAAGAGAGACGGCGAGGAGGAGGAAGTGACGGTGGTTGATAAAGTGCTTAAGACAGAGGAGAGTTACGCCGTTAGCGGCCGCGAGAATGTTGAATCAGCGGCGTCAGGTTTGACGGCGTTTGATGACTGGGACATGACGGAGTTTCTGAGCATGCCGCTTTTATCGCCGTTATCTCCACACCCACCTTTTGGTTATCCACAATTGACCGTTGTTTGAATTTTATTTTTTTCTGTTGGGTCAGCTTTGTTGTATGCTGACGTGGAATTATGGCACATTCGAGGAAATTCATTCATTTATTTGTTTCTCTTTTTTTAATACAACTCTCAATATTCTTCTAACCAGTCACGAATCACGAGTCACCTATTACAGTTACAGCCTAGACAGACATAGTGAGACAAAAATCGCATGAAGAGTGAATCATATCGAAAGAACACACAACACATATCAAATGACTTTTATAATATAACGTATTAACGTATACTTATTTTCAATGGTTTTTGTGATATATTTTTTGAAAAATCTATGACTCGTTTATTGTTTTTTTTTTTTTTTTCTATGATTCGTTTTGCATGTATAAACTTCAGTTTATTAATTTTATAATATCACGTAGACAACTATATGATATAATGTAAATCATATATCTATGACCTATTTTTTTTGTATGAAATGCTCGGATTTATTAACTTTATATAACTTTAGCAATCTCGATTATATCCCATTTGTGACTTCATATTTGAAAGCTAGCTGCCTAGCTCCATGACTCTTTTTTTGCATGTATAAACTCTGATCAATTGACTTTTATAATATCACGTATACGTTTTCTATAGATTTTATCATTTCTCATTTGTGATTTAATTCTTGAAAGATCTATGCCCTAAGTACTTTGCAATATATAGTAGCGGAAAAAAGCTCTAATCTATTAACTTTTATATTATGGGAATCAATTGGTCTTAACAATTTCCATCTATATACATACATTCATCATTTGTGACTTAATTTCTGTGTGATCGATGACTACTTTAGCATGTAAAAGCTTTCCATCTATAGACTTTTATACCATCGTGTATACAGTATACGTTGATGTCGATCCCTAAAAGTTTCTATTAATTTTATTTTTATTTGTATGTTCTGTGTAGGCGTGTAGCTCTACTTCATTCATTCCATCTTTTGCTATAAACCACATGCAAATCAACTTCTCCCGGCTCTATACTACACAAATACAGGGATCCCCACAAATACAACTCAAAGATTATTAGATAACTTTAATGATCTATACCTTTGTAAACTGAACTTGGTTTATAGTTTATTTATTTATTTAATCTGAGGTTTTTAAAAATATCACCAAATATTTTTTCGTGAAACATCTTAGAGACTTCAAATAATTTTTATTATTCAGTATATATAAAATTTTAAAATAAACTAATATTAAAATTGAGAGAGAGTAAATTGAATAATTTTTTGATAAAGTAAAGAAAGTGTAAATAATCAACCAAAACTTATAATAATATATTAAAGTGTTAGATATATAAAAAAATTTCGCCAAATAATGAATTGTATATATGGAGTAGTATTTAGTATAGAAGAGACATATGATGTATCGAATTAATTCGTTGTTATCTTTGACTTTCATTAGTTTGTTCAATACTTATATGCTTAAGTTTTAACGAAAAAAAAACGAAGCAAATCTTGAAAAACAAAGAGGCGATCATTTTTGCAGTGTCTCTCCCAACCAATCCCTTCTTCTCGACTCTCACGTAAGCTCTCTTATCGTTTCCTTCGTCTTCGTCGGTCTTCGTCTCTCTCTCTCTCTCTCGCTCGATTTGTGTATATGAATGTTAGAAGAAAACACAAATTTCAATTTTGTTTCGTGGATTTTCCCGATTTGGAATTCGAGCGATTTGCGTTAGATAGATTTCCTTTTCCAGGCTGAAGTATTTTGATTGTATGTATAATCTACTGTGGAATCGAATGAATCCTTGGATCTGTTCTCGTTAGCCGCCGAAGAAGTTGTTTACATGTGGATTGTTTATGTTCGAATTGCTTGAATTCCAATTATTTTGATCTAGGTTATGTAACTTTTGGTGTTATATGATGAATATGACCATCAGTTTTTTAGTGTTGCAGAGGTTTAGGAAGAAAGGAATGATTCGATCGTGACTTTGAATTGGGATTTTGTATGTGTGTGGTTGGTTGGTGTTTTGTGGTGTAAAATGTGGGTGCCTACTTTGAGCTCAAGCTCATCTTCAAGTGATGAGAGGGAGGAGAGCAGTGGAGAGGCTGGGCTTACGCCGGTTTATCTCAATGTCTATGATCTAACGCCTGTCAACAATTACCTTTATTGGTTTGGGATTGGCATTTTCCATTCTGGAATTGAGGGTATGTTTATCCTCCTTCTCTTTAAACTCTTCTCTCTTTTATAACTTGATAGAGATCACAAAAAGAAACCTCTTTATCTGTAAACTCAGAGAACATTGTCTACTTAGTATGCTTTTGAGAAAGGGGATTGTTTGTGGATATAGAAAAAATAGCTGTCTTAATGTTCTAGGCAAGTCATGCTTTAATGATTTGGCGACAATGCTAGGCTCTTCTGAGAAGGGGATTGTTTGTGGATATAGATGTAGGACCAAGAAAAGTGTTGAACTCTCAGGATCATTTAATGGAAATCTTACCTGATCCTTTATAACTCAGATTTTACCTGTTATGTTATTCATTATTCATTGCTCTCTTTAACACAGTTGTTGTTCAACTTCAATGTAGCTCATAATTTGGAATATTGCTATGGAGCTCACGAGTATCCAACAAGTGGGGTATATGAGGTAGAACCTAGGAGCTGTCCAGGGTTCATCTTTAGACGGTCGGTTTTATTGGGAACTACCAGCATGTCCCGTTCAGATTTCCGCTCATACATGGAGAAGCTTTCAAGAAAATACCATGGTGACACTTACCATTTGATTGCCAAGAACTGTAACCATTTCACCGAAGAAGTATGCTTGCAGCTTACAGGAAAGCCTATTCCAGGATGGATTAATCGGCTAGCCCGAGTAGGTAAAAGATATAATAAACCTTTCCCTGTGCTATGTTACAAACAAATTGTGTCCTAAATATTTACTCGTGGTTTGTTGAGTTTCAGGTTCGTTCTGTAATTGTCTTCTGCCAGAAAGTATTCAGCTTACAGCTGTTAGTGCTCTTCCCGAACGCCTCGAATTCTCCGGTAAGCTCCTAACTAAGAGACTGTTATAACCAAAAAATCCAACTCCTTTGTGATCAGACCAAATCGTGAATGGCTTCGTATTTTTCCTTATGTAGATGAGGAGGAATCAAACTCAGAGGCATCTTCTGTGTCGGATGAAGAAGGATCAGAGCAGCATCTCATAAATGCAGCAGACAGAGAAATTGTGTATCTACAAAACAAACCAGTGCGACTTACCAGAGAGGAGATCCCCTGAGAAACCAACCAGCGACGACTTCATCAGAACTTGCAGAGTGTAACACACTAACACAGTGTGTGTGCCGATGGAAGCTGAAAGGGAGTAAGTGATATCTCCTTTTGTCACCTTAATGCCGCGCTTGTTCTGTCGGAAATTCGATTTGGTATTCTTCTCATCATTTTAGGAATGTAAAAACGGATTCCGGATTTATTTTAATCAGACCACCCCTTTGGCAGAAAAAATCTGAAGATTTCTTCATATTTTCCATATCTAGTTGCCCCGGTTCTACCCATAACCGATTTCATAGAGTTACCAAAGATTTGAACATTGAAAAAAAATTGTTGCGTAATAAGTCAAAAATGCAAGTGCATGTTTCAAGGATCAACATTCAACAACATTCCAAAAATCAGTAGATGACCATAATACAGGATTTGAACTTGCATTTATATGAACCTTGATGATCTTGACCGTGGCTTTGTACCAAAAAAAAAATAGAGTACTGAAGAAAGCTTTAGAATTGTTGTAGAATTGGAGAATTCGAGCGATATACGTGTCAGATTGCAATTTATTAACACTGATGACCCTTTTGCAAATTGCAATTCTACTCAGAAGATTTCTCCACCACGTTTTTTACCTATTGCAGTATTGCTTGCTCTTAATCATTTAATACAACACTTTTTATTTAATATGATTACTACTTTACTAGCTATAACAAATCTAAGAATTTATGGTGGTGAATTAATCTTGTTTGGAATATTAAAAACTTAACATATATTTAAGTGTCCCTATATTTGACTATCTTATTAAATTTTTTCTTCTAAAATACTTTTATATCAATAGGAAATAAAGAATATTAAAATTTGAAAACAATTGAGGTCAATATTTTGACATAAAAAATAAATAAATATACAGTAGAACAAAATATCACAAAACAACAAATATGTGGTTTAGTTAATTACGCCTATAAATATGTCAAGTGAAGAAAACACACAACTCTTTGATCCAAAAAAAAAAGACACAACTCTGGTTTAAAATTGAAGGAGTCCAAATTAATTTTGATGATAAATAGGAGAGAAAACGTTTTGACTCACATAACGTAAAAAGAGAGAGAGAGAGAGAGAGAAAAAAAAAAGGAATATTCCGGCGAAGATTCTCTCAATTATGAATTATCCAATGGAGAAGTATTTCCGGCTGTCTGTTCTCCTTTTCACGGTGATCGCCGCCGTGTTATTCTCTTTTATTCCGGTTTCAATCTCTATTCCCTTCATACTCTTTCACGGTAATTAACGATTCTCCTTTCTCTTCCTCATCAGTTTTTATGTTTAATTCATTCGATAATTAATAAACACAATTAAGTTTTTTTAAAAAAAAAAAAAACAGGAATTGGAGATAAATGTTCGGGTGGAGTTAGTAACTTCACGCAACTCCTAACCAACCTCTCTGGCTCTCCTGGCTTCTGCTTGTAATTAATCAACAACTAAACATTACTTACCTAACTTGTTTTGGTTATGTGTTTTTTTTTTTTAAATCTTGAAAGGATCTTTTTAATCAATTTGTAGAGAAATAGGAGACGGAGAAAAGGACTCATGGTTCATGCCATTGATAAAGCAAACTAGTTTAGCGTGTGAGAAAGTGAAAACGATGAAAGAGTTGAGTCAAGGTTACAACATTGTTGCAGAGTCTCAAGGAAACTTAGTCGCTAGAGGACTAATCGAGTTTTGCGATAATGCTCCTCCTGTCATTAACTATATCTCCTTAGGAGGTCCTCATGCTGGCATTGCCAAAATCCCTAAGTGTGCTGTATAACTTCATTTTTACTATTTCTTTGGTTTATCTTAATCATAGTAATTAACAAAAATTGTTTTGATTAATTATGTGTTTTCTGTTTTGTGTCAAGTCTGGTCCAATATGTGATATAGGTGAAGCTATGTTGAAGTTAGAGGTCTATACTGACTTCGTACAAGTAACACTCTTATCTCTGTATCTCTCTAAGATCAAAACCCTTTAATGATGATTTGATTGATTTATGACTATGCAGGATCATATTGCTCCTAGTGGTTATATCAAGATTCCTGGTGTAAGTTAGTTACTTAACCAAGTCAATTAATTCGAAATCGATTCGAGTTTTTAACACAAATAGCTTGGTTTTCTCAGGAATTCTCAAAGTATTTGGAACACTCAAAGTATCTACCAAAGGTTAACAATGAGAGACCTGACGAAAGAAACTCCACTTTCAAAGACCGATTCACTAACTTACACAACTTAGTTCTTGTCATGGTACCTTATTGCCTTCTTTTTCCACTAAGATATTTAAAACATGTTTTTAGCTCATTGCTCTGTTTTTCTATTTCAAAATTCGTAAACAGTTCGAGAGCGATACAACATTAATCCCTAAAGAAACTGCATGGTTTGGATATTATGAAGATGATGGATTCGATACTCTTTTGTCAACTCAACAGGTGAATTTCTCTAGATTTCATTTGTTTCATGGATCATTTGGTTTATAGAAATCTAAATATGTATACATTCTTCATTAGACAAAGTTGTACAGAGAAGATTGGATTGGTCTGAAAGCATTGGATGTTGCCGGAAAAGTGAAGTTTGAAAGTGTGTTAGGGGACCATCTCAGTATATCGGATGAGGAGGTTGTGGAATATGTTGTGCCTTACTTAATGGAAAGATGTATGTGAATTTCTTTAACTACATGAGACTATAAGAGGTATGTAAAAGTTTATGGGGTCTTCTTATTCAATTTAATAGTTTTTTAAATCCAAGTATCATTTTTTTTTTTTAATAAAGTTTTTCTAAATTTCTGGTTAACTTTTAAACTTTATGTGTCATTGGATTTGTTATTTACACATTATGTAAAGTGTTGTTATTCTAACAAATGTTTTAAATGTAATTCAATGTTGTTTAAGACTAATAGAATTTTAAAATCTCTAAACTTGAAAAGATTTATAATTAATTTTCCAGGTAAGTTATAGGTATGAAAATCTATATTATTAATTTATTACTCAAAAAAATTTGAGATTCACCTAAATTATAGTATCTATTAATGAAAGAAAATTTAATATTCAGAAAACATAAAACTGGTTTAACAGTTAATCTTTCTTTGGCCTATTTTTACAAGGTTATAAAGATGTTTAAAAAAAAAAAAATTCAAATAATTTGTTTTACCTTTCTTTAAATTTTCAAGTCAGTGCCGACAAAGAAAAAAAAACAAAGAATTTCATTTCACAGAAGAAATTTAGGTGAGTATGATCAGTAGATACAAAACACCAACCACCAAGTAATAAATTCTCTTCCATTTTATGACTAAAGCACAAAAAATTAGATAAATCCTTATCAAACGTAAACTTATTGCTTTCTTGCTTCTTGTGGTTCCCCAAAACTCAAAAGTACTCTTTTTGTGTGTAAACAAAAAAATTCAACGGTACTCTTTCTCTAAGTTGTTCCATGGAGAAGAGTTTCTTTAGATCTACTCTCCTTGTGACATTGACTATCTTCTTCTTTATTCCAGTTTCAATCTCGGTTCCATTCATTCTGTTTCACGGTGATTAACAATCTTTCTTCTTCTTCCTCTTTCCTTTTTTGATCGACACTAGCTAATGGATATTGATTTATATAGGGATTAGAGATCAATGCTCCAATGGTGGAGTGAGCAGCTTCGTACAGCTCCTTAGCAACCTCTCTAGCTCCCCTGGATCTTGCTTGTACTGACCCAACTCCTTCTTGTTCTTGTTTTATTCTAATCTTGCAAAAAGGTTTATTGTTGTCTCTTTCTTTGTTATGTGTCATCTTGTAGAGAAATAGGAGATGGAGAGCAAGATTCGGTGACTATGCCGCTTACGCAACAAGCGAGTGTAGCGTGTGAGAAAGTTAAAAAGATGAAAGAGTTGAGTCAAGGCTACAACATTGTTGCACAGTCTCAAGGAAACTTGGTAGCTAGAGGACTAATCGAGTTTTGCGACAATGCTCCACCGGTCTTCAACTATATATCTTTAGGAGGTCCTCACGCTGGCATATCTGACATCCCCAAGTGTAATGTGAGTTCTCTTTCCATTTCTTTTTGTCTGTGTGTCCTAATCACAATCATAATAACAACAATGGGGGTTCTCTGTTTGAAGTCTACACTTTGCGAGTTGCTGAAAACAGAGGTCTACACCGACTTCGTACAAGTAAACCTTCTCTCTTCTCTCTTCTTCTTCTTCTCTAATCAGGATTCAAAACCTTTGAGCATTACTAATACTCATCATTAACAACACCACTAATCACTCTACAGGATCATATTGCTCCAAGTGGTTATATCAAGATCCCTACCGTAAACTCAAAACCCTTTTCTTTTTTTTCCTATTAGATGAATACTTCAATTGAGAAAGCATGAAACTGGTTTTCAGGATATAAAAAATTACCTGGAACACTCCAAATATCTGCCACAGCTTAACAACGAGAGACCTAAAGAAAGGAACGCCACTTTTAAAGACCGGTTCACTAGCTTGCACAACTTGGTCCTTGTCATGGTGCATCTCTTTCTTAAACTAACCAAATCTTGAACAACATTGTTGATTAGCCTCATTAATTTTGTTTTTCTTGATTTCCTAAACAGTTTGAGGGTGATACAGTAGTGATTCCTAAAGAAAGTTCTTGGTTCGGATATTACCCGGATGGAGCTTCCACACCTCTTTTGTCTCCTCAACAGGTGAAACCTTGATCATCTCCATTTCATTTCTTTGCCTGATCATCAACCACTTGTTTCTAACTTTGTATTCTCCAGACAAAGCTCTATACTGAGGATTGGATTGGTCTGAAAACCTTGAATACTGCCGGAAAAGTTAAGTTTGTCAGTGTCCATGGCGAGCACCTAAGAATAGCTCAAGAGGACGTTGTAAAATACGTCGCGCCTTACCTCAAGAACCAGCCTGCGTCTATGAGTGAAGATTTAGAGATACTGCATCTATGAGTGAAAGACTTCATTGTGAAGAACTTTAGAGACTACTTCTTCTTAATCATAAATCCAAATAATTTCATCATGTATAACGCTAAAGGCTACTTATTCTTGTTTCTCACGGTACATGAAATTCTAGAAAATTCAATAAAACTCGATCATTTTTATGAGATGAGGAAATTGCATGTGCCTTAATAAACCAACGAATCTCTTCAAAGCTTAAGTGGCATGTACACACACACACACTCTATCTATATCTCTTTATTCAAGATAAAAAAAAAACCTTTAATGACTATACAGGATCACATTGCTCCTAGTGCAAGTTAGTTACTACGTAACCAATTAAGTCAAAATCGATTAACACAATGGTTTGGTTTTCTAAGGAAATGTCAAAGTAACTACCAAAGCTTAACAACTAGAGACCTGACGAAAGAACCTCCACCTTGAAAGACCGATTCACCAACTTACAAAACTTTTAGTTTTTGTCATGGTATTGTACTGTACTTCTTTTTTTAGTTTTCAGATATTGAAAATCATGGTTTATCTTAGCTCACTGTTATGTTTTTCTTCTTCTTAAATCCTAATCAGTTCCAGAACGATACAACAATGTTACCTAAAAATGTACATTATTCACCAGACAAAGCTACTATACAGAGAGGAGTGGATAGGTCTGAAAGCTGGATGCTGCCGGAGAAGTCAAGTTCGCGAGTATCTCGGGAGAGTTGTGAAACACGTTGTCTCTACTTAATGCAAGTTGGTGCTTGACTTCTTTAATATTATTGGACCCGATCACTGTCATTTTTGTGACAGGTATTGGGGGTCAATTCAATTATTAGTTCCAAAGAATGGGCCAACATATCAAACATATGGAGAAACGTTTTGTAAAATATTAACATATGGAAAAACGTTTTGTAAAATATTAATTTGTGTAGAGCTTACCGTGTTTATATATACACAAAATAATTTACCTTTTGTGTATATATAAAGGATCGAAACTAACAAATACACCTCACAACTTTCAAAAGAAAACTTAATAATAATACAAACTCCTCTCATTGCTAGCTGCCTCTATTACTCTTCTACACATAAAAGTTTTTAACACCAGTAAACCGTTCTATAACTTTATAAAGTCATTGCCGGAAAAAGGTAAAGATTTCATTCCCGTGAAGAATATTAGAACAGTAAATAAATATCATACATAGTTCTCTTCCATTTGTGTATTGATTAAAGCACAAAACATTAGATAAATCTGTAACATACGTAAACTTGTTGCATTCCTGCTTCTTGGGGTTCCCCATAAATTAAAATACTCTGTTTTGTGTTTAAGAAAAGAATCAACGGTACTCTCCCACTGAGTTAGCTCCATGGAGAAGAGTTTCCAACGATCTGCTCTCCTTCTGACCTTGTCACTCTTCGTCTTCTCCATTCCAGTTTCACTCTCTGTTCCATTCGTTCTGTTTCATGGTTATTAACAATCCTTATTCTTCCTCCTTGTGACCTTGTCTCTTTTCCTTTTTGAATCGACACTAATGGATTCGATTGAAACAGGGTTTGGAGGTGAATGCTCCAATAATAAAGTTAGCAACTTAACACAGTTTCTTATCAACCACTCCGGCTACCCTGGAACTTGCGTGTACCGACACAACCCCTTCTTCTTGTTTTATCCTGATCTTGTCAAATGGTTTATAGCTGTATGTTTTATTGTTTCATCTTGTAGAGAAATAGGAAATGGAGTGCAAGATTCCTTGTTCATGCCGCTTAGGCAACAAGCAAGCATAGCTTGTGAGAAAATTAAACAGATGAAAGAGCTGAGTGAAGGTTACAACATCGTTGCAGAGTCTCAAGGAAACTTAGTCGCTAGAGGACTAATCGAGTTTTGCGACAATGCTCCACCAGTCATCAACTATGTCTCCTTAGGCGGACCTCATGCTGGCGTCGCTGCAATCCCCAAGGGGTGTACTGTGAGTTCTCTTCCATTTCTATTTGTCTGTCTCTTTGTGTCAACTACAATCACATTCTTAATCACAATAACAACAATGGTATTCTCTGTTTATAGTCTCCATTTTGCATGCTCCTGAAGGCGGTGTTTGCAGTGATTTACACTGATCTCGCTCAAGTAAACCTTCTACTCTTCTTTTTCTCTAATCTAAACCATGATTAATACCAATCATTAACAACTCCTATAATGACTCTGCAGGACCATACTGCTCCAAGTGGTTATGTCAAAAAACCTATGGTAAACTAAAACCCTTTTCTTTCATAATTCTCAAATCATTTCCAAATATATGAAATACTTGAATCGACAAAACATTATCTGGTTTTTTAAGGAAATAGCAAATTATCTGGAACACTCCAAGTATCTGCCAAAGCTAAACAACGAGAGACCTGGAGAGAAGAACTCCACTTTTAAAGACCGTTTCACCAGCTTGCAAAACTTGGTTCTCATCATGGTGCCTCCCTTCTCTTTCTTAGACCAAAAATCTTTGAGATGATGACACCACAAATCTTGAACAATATTTTCATTAATTTTCTTTTCTTTTTGGCATTTCCTAAACAGTTTAGAAATGATACAATATTGGTTCCAAGAGAAACTTCTTGGTTCGGATATTACCCGGATGGAGCTTCATCTTCAACACCTGTTTTGCCTCCTCAAAAGGTCAACCAGAAATCATCTCTCGAATTCATTTTGTTCACTTGATCATATCATCAACCACTGGTTTCTAACTAACTAACAGTATATATATTCTTTCTGCAGACAAAGCTCTACACTGAGGATTGGATTGGTCTGAAAACCTTGGATGATGCTGGAAAAGTGAAGTTTATTAGTGTCCCTGGCGGACACATCGAAATAGCGGAAGAAGACCTTGTCAAATACGTTGTGCCTTACCTCCAGAACGAGTCTACGTTCACTTCTGAACACGAGGCAATGTAGACATTGCAATCTTGAACCCATCTAATAAAAAAGGCCTCATCCGAAAATAATAAGGTCCTATATCATCAATGTAACATCATCATCTATGTATCACAGTATCAGTGAGATTAAAATAAAAGCTTCATCATTTATCAAAGACTAATTATCATCTCATCTCGTATAAGCTTGAGACTTACGGTACTCGTGCTTTTAACTATTTTAAACATGCAAAAAAAAAAAATCAATAAAACTCGATAATGGATTTGTGATACTGATACATACCCTTTGCTTAAGCTTTCTTCTGGTGGCCTTGCAGTTGCAAAAAAAAAAATGAATCAAACCCCTAGTTTCTCTGGTGAATCAAACCCCTAGAAAGAAATAATATCAAACCGTCTAATTTTGAATAACTTGACGGTTCAACTTTTGTATATGAAAAATTCTAGAGTATTTAAATCGATTATTCTTTAATTCTTTTGATGTTAGAAAAAAGAAGGGTATGAAAAAGATCTTGTCTAACATCTGAAAATAAAAAAAAGTTTGTTTTCCTTAAAGGTTAAGCTGGTCGCATATACTAAGATCTTGTCAACGTAAATGAAGATGGATTCATGATTTTGTCAAACATTGTAGGATGGTTAAGAAGAGCTGAGTTTATCAAAAACAAATAAAAGAAGAGCTGATTTTTCTTTTCCTGTTTTTTATATAAAAAAAAATTGTTATCATCAAGAAGACAAGAATAACTAATTTAATCAGATTAAAGTAAATTTAAAATGAAAAAGGCTTTTAAGGATACATAGCTGAGAGTCAATAATCTAAAAAGTACAATGACCCACATAACAACCCATAGAACCGGCATTAAAGTTAAGACCTAGGACGCATCACATCAAAGGTTGACCCATGGGCCATTTGGAGCCATGGACTCAAAGAGACAGATCGTTGGTTGTGGTTAGATGAGGATGGTCCGGCCACGCGTTCGCACGATGGACACATTAAAAGAGTGGTTGGTGGACTCATCTGACCATACAACCGCGGTGAAAGCTTTAATGCTCTTAGTTCCGCCGCCTCTTTCTCGAGCCGCCGATTCTCTTCAGTTAATTTCTCTACACATCTCTTCAAATACTCGCAATCCACTTCGGTTTGCTTCAATTTTGTCCTATTGGACACAAAAAAATGGATTGTGTTGTAAATAAAATTGTTCTTGCGGGGTAAAATGGTCAATTAATATGTAAGAATGAGGTCTCTAGTTCTCACCTTGCTCTTCTGTTTTGGAACCACACTTCCACTTGTCTTGCTGTTAAACCTAGCTTCTTAGCCAAAGCCAGCTTCTGTTTCTGTAAATTTACCATAAAGCCCTCATTAAAACAGAGTGTTTACAAGAATACCCTCACACCAAGATGATGAATGACTTACGGGATTGAGAGTATTGTGCTCCTTGAAAGTGTCTTCGAGAACAGCAGATTGATCTTTAGATAGCCTGAGCTTCTTCCGACAAGTCTCTCCTCCGTAATCTTCTTCTTCATCGGAGGTTCCACGTGAGGAAGATCTATCTAGAGTGATGTCGAGGTCATCTCCGGCACCACCACCGGAGGTTCCTTCTCTCTCACTCCTCCTCTTGCCGCTCACGGTGCTCGAGATCGTACTGTTTGGAGATGAAACTCCTGTCTCCTCCTCCAAATCCACCGTATTTGGTAAGCTGTTCACGTCGATTTTCCTAAGAGACTGTTGCTTTTGATGATCTGAAAAATGATAAAAGGGTTATTTCAAGATCTGTTTGGTTTCTTGATGAAAAAGGTTGTTAATACTTTGTAGAAGAAGAAACGTACCTGAGGAAGAAACAAAGGTTTGGTTCCATGGAAACATCTGGAGATTGGACATTGGTGAAGAAGTGGGTTTTAGATTTAGCTGAAGAGGATGGTGGTTTTGTGCAAATCCCAAGCTAAGACTTAAACCTAGATCCTCTTTTCCCATCATCATGATATATTCTTTGAAGATTTTTATGAAATGAGAATAGCAAAAGCTTGGATCTTTATGGGTAGAGATGACAAGAGAAACCTTGTTCTAAAGCTGATTTTTCCTCAAAAACTCTATTTTTCAGTGGTGGCAAGTGTATAGAGGATAAGAGAAACCTTCTTTTAGGGTTCTTATAGAGAGAGAGAGATGTGAAATGGGAAATGAAAAGAGAAAGAGAGGATTAATATAGGAAGTGAATGATATGAGATGTTGTCAGGTTGGCCAATTATAATCTATAATGCCCTTTTGAAAACTCAATTATTATATCCCCAACTTGTTCCCTCTTTGTCTTCTCCTTTCTCTTTTTTTCTTTTTCTTTTCCTTCTTCTTCTTTTACTATTATAGTAGTAAATAGTATAAGTCCTCTCTTTTGCTAACTTTCCCATAACCTCAAAGTACTTCTATAGTTCTATATATGTATGGAATCCAAAGTCTATATTTCAAATTTAAAATTTAAATTCATATTTTCCATCGCTACTTTATTTCTTGCAAATTTGTGGACTAGGAAAAGATAGACTCTACAATGTGGGTTTAATATATGTGGCGCAAATCCATCATGACATTTATTTAGCGACAATAAGTACATAAAACTATATACATAATCAACGAAATAACGATTCAATTTTTAATTACATACCTTCATATATGAAGTAAATCATGTCATGGTCTTTCATATATTAAATAGAAGCATGCTTATGATTTTATAATATCTGACAAATTTTATTATTGCGCTAATTTGATACCATTTCGATAGATATAGACGTTAGTTTAAAAAAAAAACAGAATTTTAGTGGTGATTAGATGATCTTACATTCTTACTAGAGTAAAACAATTTTTTTTACTTTAAGTTCAGCTGAATAATTACTCTACTTCAAAGAAATAAACGTTAACATTTTTAGTTTTCTACTCCACCCAAAAGTGGTAGTAAATATTTCAGTTCATTTTTATTTAACTCTCAAACTTTACCAATCATTGGTGCAAGAACTTGTAAAGAAAAACAAAAACAAAACAACTCAATCAGTCAAGATCACACACGGATGAGAACAGATATCGAAGAAATAGTTGGCAATTAAATGTTGAAAAAATGAAAAAAAAAAAAGAGGACTAAATCAAGTGGTTGGTACAAAACACAATCCACATGAATCTGAGCTCCTTCAAAGTTGTGGGCCAATCAACTGTTGTGATCCAATCATATCCATGTGGGATGTGGGATCTATCATTACAATAACACCATATATTTATTAGTACATATGAATCCAATATTCATTGCCTGTTTCTCTATCTTCAGTTCAAGTTTTTAAACTTTCTAATCAGAATTGCAGAATTTTGAAGTATTAGGATTTACAAAATAGTGATTTACATAACGGTGTTCTTGAAAACAAAATTTACACTCAGATAGATTTTGGATTGCTGCTAATCAGAATCATTTTTCTTTATTATTGACGAAAAAAAGAAAAAAGAAGAATGTATATAAACTGCCGAAAGATGATGATCTAATAAATGAGTCTCAAATAGTTTTGGGCTCAAGAGAGAACATGGGCAGGTGGGTCATGGTCACGTGACAACAAGGGACCCGAAAACACTCGACCCGGCCGTGCGTTTTATTTTGTTTCCTCACGCGCCGACATCTTATCATTTGCCGCCACGCGCCTTCATCATTTTCGCTTCGTTGTAATCATTATACGCATGATTTTCAAATGAAATAACTCCTTCTCATTAATGATCTAAACTCTGCTCGAATTTTATACTAATAGAGAAAACATACATTCGAATTATACGTTGTATACATAATGAATTACATAATTCACCTTTTAGTAGCTACTAGTTTATCAAAAATTACTAGTAGTTTATGCGTTCTAAACGAAAACATGAAATATCTATTTAGAAGCTCTATTTGAGAATGTTATTGGATTTGAACACTCACGAGTCACGAGTAAGAAGAAATATTTCTACTTTTTTTATATATATATAAAAAACATTATATTTAATCGTGAGAAATCATGGATTTTCAAAACTAATTGACAATAAGTATGTTGGTTTATTTATATCTCTTGTATAATACTTTAAGCCTTTAGGTCTTGTCTACACTTTCCTTTCCACTATGAATTTTTTAACACGTAGTCTCAGTAAATATGCGTATAAAGCAAATGAAGATCCACATATAAAAACTTTAATAGTACAAATCGTATTTTCTAATGTTGTAATCATTTGAGGCGTATATATATGTTTTGCTTTTATAGTAGGACTAATAATTATGAATTTAGTTAGTCATATTTGATTTGTAGCTTAATTATTCTCTACAGAATTGGCTGTAGGTTAATGTCATCATTGGGGAACTTTATATGTTTGGACCTAACTTCCCCATTATAGTCGAATATTATATATTCTCTAGTACATGTAATAATTCGAATGTTTAAACACTTGAAAGAAAATACTCATTGACATCGACATATATAATGAAGAAAGAGGCCTAGCAATAAAACGAATGATAATTTGAATTTGACGTTTCATAACATAGTTAAATGTTTTGAGTCTTGATCACTATTTTAACGCATCAAATGTTATGAATTTATATGCATAATTATTGAGATTCTAGTATCGTCATGATTACTCTTAACAAATGGTTTTGGGAATCTATGTTTTTAATTGTTTTTTAAAAATAGTTGGTGTACAAAATGAAGCTTCAAGGAATGCTTGTAATATAATTGAGAAAAAATGAGGAAAAGGGACCAAGTTGGCTCGTGCGATATATCCTCCCATGTGGAACCGACGTGGCGCACACATTCCTAAGAGAACCACACCACCCATGACAGCAAAGCACACGTGTGCTCGTGTCCACCCACACGTGCATGCATTCCTGGTCAAAATATTCCTATGTTCTTGGTTGTCCTCAGTCAATGGTCAAACTTCTATAATTTCAGTATGTTGAGTAAAATAGGAAGAAGTAGCCAACTCTCTCATTAGAAGAATGTGGCTTCTTCTCTTTGGGATTTTCAAAGATGGCTTATCACTTTCGACGTTATAATTTAATTCTTTTTTACTAATTGGTTTCAGGTTCAGCCCCTTGGAATGGTTGATAAGCCACTAAACTCTCTAATTATTAGTAATGAATTTTATTTGGGGGAAAAAAAAAGACAATGAGAGAAAGGTACGGTTTATATATAAGAAACAAGAAAGATTGCAAATGAAAAAGGTTTTCTACTATTGCTAGAAAAATGGATTCGTTTTTTAATTGCAATAAGAAGATTTCGTTAATTACAAATAGGAATTTTATTTTTTAATAATTGTAAATGAAAAGACTTCTTTGATAACTGACAAGTAGAGGGTTTTGTATACAAATGCAAATGAGAAGATTACCAAAGTTAGTTTTTTATTATTAAAGATATATTTTATCGATGAGTGTATATGAAAAGCTAATTAGGAAACCCTACTATATATTCATCTTCGTTATTGGCACCATATAAAATGGGTAGAAGGACTCAGTTGGTTTCCAAGGCTCCATGCGAACCTCAAACATCACATTTTACGTTTGCAGCATTGGCTCAAACCTAAACTTAATAATCCAAAAACCGCATGAACATCACATTTTTATTCGTGTCTGTAGATTTTTACCATATGTCAGCTTAAAATGAGATCCTTTGAAAACTTGGTGCCAAACAACACACGTCTAATTTTGGGAAAGTAATCGATACATAGTAGTAATTAGTCGTACATATGCAGCTGACATTGATTTTGCACGTTTACTTTTTTTTTTTTTGAATATAATATTAAATTAGATTCAAAGAAAAAATAACTGTTTTACAACAAGTGCAACGTTTACAAAACCTTTGAGAGATTTGAATCTTTTTTCACTCAAAGAGTTTAGTTGGTTAAGAAACAAAAAAAAAAAAAAAGACAAAGACAAAGACACCTGCATGAAAATGTAACACTGACTTTCGAATATATCCAGACATAAATTTTGATTAATGAAGCCATCTAATATTTCTTTCAGTTTCGTTCGTTTTGGATCTAAAAGATTTGAATATTGGCTAGGCCAAAAAGTTGAATATTTATGAAACATGTTCTCCAAAAACATATGTTTTTTTCTACTTTTCACATATTTTAATTCTTCTAATGGCGGTGAGCTGGTGGTCATGTGGATTCATCGGTTAACCAAAAATCGTTTGGAATATTTTTCGGTTGTAATGCTAGACACGTGCACTAATATGTACGGACTCATTTAACTACCTTAAATTAATACTCCCATCTAACGATTTTTAACATGACAACGTTGCTTTAAAATATTTAAATTCAAGGTAAAAATGAACTCTACTAATTTATCTCTCTCTATATGCAAATATTTGATGTACCGTTTTATGGAGAAATTACAGTTACATGATTTGAAAATGGCCACACAATAAATCATTCTAAAAGTGAAATAAAGTAAAACCAAACCCATGAATTTATGCTTCTAATTAATGGTAACTTGCATGCAGAGTAAGTGAGTAACAAAACAATTCTACATTTTTTACGTATTATTCTTTGGTAGATTTCCACTATTTATGTGTTGTCATTATATATGTTCTTCCTCTAGTTAATTGACAACAAAACCATTGTTCGGCCAATCCTATCTTTTGTTGTCATTACATAACTTTGAATCGGGGCCCGTCTAGTTCTCGAAGACGAGAAACTATATTATGGCTTGAGAGACGTCGGAAATAATTTGGATAATTTAGTAGAAACGAAGGGTAATCATGGAATTTAGCGTACGTTAGGCCCTAATTTTCCACTGGGTGACAGGGTAACGAATCATTTTTTTTGTGCCATTGTGTGTGGTTGGTTGTTGAAGGTATACATCTCAAGTACAACGAGGACTGTGTATGACGTAGATAAAGCAATTAATGGCACATGATATATTACCAATCACATCATTTAATTTATTAGTATCATCATCATCATCATTGTACAGTATTATCTTACATTCTTAATGTTATGTTAAGAAAAGTAATATAATTGTTAATTTCTATCACAATTAGCAATCTCTATGTAAAAGACAAGCATACATAAAATGATACAAATAAATGGACATGCGGTCACCTTCTGTTTGTTTTTTTGGTTTGGATTCAATTACGTTTGAACTTTGATATCATCACTTTAAAAAAATAAAAAAAAAATAAAGATTGAAACTGTATATGATACTTTTGTGGGTGTGTGTGATGTAATCGGTGAAAGTTGTTCTCGAATGAATTGGCTTTTTAGAAACAAGAGGAGCCCACTGAGAATGATACTCTTCATTGATTATTCGGCAAAGAACTACATGTAATAATGATTAAGTTTTTGAGTCGGAACTAATTTTTTAATTTTCTTAAAAAGAAACAATTAAACCCGACAAACTGACCATTTGGCTTCGCTGTAGAAGAGCATAAATGGTGAGAGTCAAATGATTGTGGACTAGAATCATTATGTGATGAAACATAAAAGGCCTAAGATAACCAATGATATGATGCCCTAACCCCTAAATAATCATTCCCATGATAGTAATAATGAGAAGAGTTCATAATTAATGGAACAAACCTTCTTCAAAGTAAGCATGCTCTTGCAAATATAATACTAATAAACACAAGAAATCACATTTCCTAAAAAAGATAGAGAAGTCATAATTGGTGTATAGGGCCTTTTGGATTTGAAATACTGAATGTTAGCCCATTTAGCTTATTGGACCGTTTAGGTAATCCATTCTCATATTAGGACTTTAAGGCTTAAAATGCAAATTTATCACATGCATATGAACAGTGAGCAATTTTCTTTTTGCAGATATTTTTGGTGGTTGTTAAGTGGGTATGCAGATTTTTTGTACACAGAGGAAACAACTGTGATTAATATAACCTGCGAAAAAGCAAATACTACTACAACCTCTTAGTTTCACATTTTTGGTATAATTAGAAACACTAATGCAGAACTATAACTATTTTTAGCCGTGGTGTCATTTTTTATTTTACAAATTGAATGATTATGAAAAATAATCTGCATACCCACAGATTTTAGTTAGATAAAATGTTGAAAACAGTTTCATCATTTTATTTTGCTACATGATCGATCGATCAGAGCTGTTCCTCTTCAACAATGTTACTTATCGGAGCCATTAAATAAGTTTGCACTTCAAACAAACTTATATGGATCTTAATACACTTTCTCACTATGTGTTAATAAGTGGTATAAATGGTTTAATAAATCATTTTCTGTGCTAATAAGAGTTATAAATGGTTTAACAAACTCACTTTTTAACATAGATTATGTGGTTTTGCTCTGCCATTATATTAAACTTTGACGCATCTTACTAACCGATTTTCTGCATTTCATCATCAAGTAACTCAAAAACAAACCCCTCTGGCTCTCTTTTCTTTATATATCTATAATTATATGAACTTACCGATATTTACTTATAATTTAGTTACTACTAAGTTTGATATGAGACAAGAACATGTCTCTTGATATACCTTCTTCCTATCTTCTACTGTGGTGTATCTGGATTCTTGATCACCAGCATACCTATCTACCCTGCAACAAACCAGAAACAATGTCCCAACTACTTAAGCACAAACCTCAAAAGATCAAGCAATGCTATAACAAAGCAACGCTACCATATCCATGAAAATGATAAGTTTCAATTAGGGAGATGACTTCACCTTTTTCCTTCACCAAAAGACTCCTTTGCATCGATCATCACTGCAAATGGAATAAAATCGCTGTTACAGGAATCTTAACATTAAAGCAGTAGTACCATTAGATTATGTAAAGCTAATTAGGTCTCCAAATGTGGGTTTAATGCATCTTTGTAAGCACTAAAGGTCTGGACTTTCATCCATTTCATACTATCTACCGATCAATGTGGCAAAAGGGTAGGTTGATCCACGCTTTAATCGAGCAAGTAAGTGAAATTGATCAAAGCTAACCTTAGCCGGAGAAGTGGATACTCTAAAGCAATCAGCATTCATTCCAACGAGACACAAACCAGGGAAAATGACCTACAATGGCAGACATATGAATTGCCAAGAAATGTAGAGACTTAAAAAATCGTAATCTCGTTCGAAATTCTCTGTGAGGCAATTCGTCGAACACCTGGTGACTTACATCGAGATATTTCTGCAAATTTTTGGCCCTCTTTCTTGGCCGGCGAGATGGCCTGTTCCCACTCATGCTAAACAAATCTTCTTCGATCTCGTCTCGAGAAAGAGCAACCCAAAGCCTATGATTCTCGTTCGTAACCTCACCACCGCCTAATCCAGGAGATTCCGCCGGGATTCCTCTCTGCCTGTTCGATTTCGGCTCCATTCCTCCGCTTGATTTCTGATTCTTCACCTCCGAACCTCCTCCTCCTCCTCCGCCGCCGCAGACCTCCGTCGAGAATACGCCGTTTCCTTTCTTCAAACCACCACAAGCCTTCCTCGGCCTTAGATTCCATGTCCTCTTCGCTTCCTCCTCCTCCGTTTCTTCTCTCTCCTTCACCGACACCGGAACTTCCTCTCTCGTCGGAGAAATCTCATCGGATTTCAGCTTCTTTAGGTAATCGTGCTCTGATGACGGAGCAAAGGAGGAGAAAGAGAGACGCGGCTGACGACTTGACCGTGACGCGACGACACGGTTAGAAACAGCCAACGTCTCCGCCGATTGAGAAGCAGACCTCTCCGACTTGGAATTAGCAGACATTGAGATGAGATTATACCTGAGAGATGATCAAAAACCCTAGAAAGCAAAAAGCAAAAAGCAGAGAGGGGTGAGAGAGAGAGATAGATGAAGGAGATTTACGGAAGCTGATGCATGCGTAAGTTTCTAATTATGTTTTATTTGATTCTTCTTTCTTTACAAAGTCTTTCTTCTCTGAATGTAATTTCTTCTCATTGGACTTTTTCTTACCCAATTTTTGTTTCCAAGTAGTCTTAGACTTACAATTTACCAAATTTAATAATAATAAAATGTAAAATTTATATGTGAATGCTAGGACAAATAAATTATGAAAAAGAACAAAGAGAATTAATGGAATTTTCAGTGACTATTATTATTTTTGTTATTAAAAACGGTGGAATTAATCAAATTTTTTTAAAATCATTTTTTTTTGCCAATGCATGCCATGCCATGCCATTTAGAAATTAAGTAACATATTTCAGTTTCTCTGTTTCTATACAAATCCTTTTTCGGCTGTTTTTCTTTTCTTGAAATTTTTGTAGCCTACTAAATCAAAATGCAAAAAATGTTTGCATATGCAAAAAGACACAATAATTTATTGGGTGTATTGACTCGACCACTTAACTTAACAACGTAGTAGAAGAAACATAAACTGTCTTTTTGATCAGATTTTCATGTTCTTTGTCACTGGATCTTCTCATTCTTTATAGGGTATAGGAAGTTAAGACATTTTTAGAGAATCCAATCGAATCGAATCAAATCAAATCTCTTCTTCAGCCATAAACATCGACTTAAACTTTCCAGTAAATTTGTCTTGAGATAGTGTTATGTTAGCTGACCTCCTTAAACTTCAAAATTATGTCCTATGGAGATAATCTTGTATATAAGCAATTTTTAAAATATTAAATATGAAATCTATAGAATATTAACATCATTTTAGATATAGATATAAAGAAAGGTATATTTGTCATTTGCTCTTTTTGACTGAACCATCTCCATCTAATTGGTCCAATTAAGTTCATCCAAATGAGTTTGATAATTTTGCCTAAATTTACAAACTCATTCAGATGATCCATCCAACTGATTCATCCAAATGCTATGTTAAATTGTCAAAAACAAACATCATTTTTCATCTCGATCCAAATGAATCATTTGAATGGAGAAACAAACATGACCATATGACTACACTTCTAAATACATGAGATTTATAGCTAGCCTCCAAAAACCAAACATTCATTTTTTTTAAAGAAAATAATACATTAGAATTATTTAAATCTAAAATACGACTAAAGTTTTCTATAGCATATATAGTCTTTCATTGTCCATATTTTTATCACCTCGAGAAAAAATCAAATAAATATGCTTATTTAATCGTTTTAAATGTTAATTTCATATATGAATTTAAATCACACCATGAGATTTGTGTTTCAAGTTTCAACAAAGTCTTTTATTTTAACGTTTGTTTGATATAACTATTTCTTAAATCTATTCAGTAAAATAAGTGGGTTTAATAACAAAGGGCCCAAACTCAAAATAGAGATCATGCCCACCGACAATCATTTCGTAGGGTTGAGCAACGAAGTCAATTTACGCAGCAATCTCCGAAAACTCTCCGAAGAAATCGGTACGAAATTCGCAACAAGGTAATGATAATGTTGATTCCAATGATGATGATGGTGAGAATGGTGGAGCGGACAATGAGGATGAGGGACAGAAAGATAAGGATGATGAGGATGATGATGATGAGAACAATATGGATAAAGGAAAGAAACAGAAAGGATAATGAAGAGGAATAAATTTGTATGTTATGATAGTGTTGTTTAATTACGTCGTACGTATATTAGTTAGGTCACTATTATGTTTTTAATGTTTGTGCTTGCTAGTTTGAATACACTACTACCTTATCTTAATTACCAAAAAATTAATACTTTAATATATTTTGAAGTGGTTATAATATACATGATAAACGCCATAAAAAATATTTGATAAAATTTTGAGAGTTGTTGAGAAGTTATAATATGCATGACAAAAACCATAAAAAAATATTTAATAAAATTTTAAGATTTGTTGAGAAGTTTGAGAGTGGGAGTGAGAGTGAAGGTGATGATAATGATGATGATGATGATGATGATGATGATGATGAGTGATGATGATGATCATGATGATGACAATGGTGAAGAGGACAATGAGGATGAGGATGAGGATGAGGATGAGGAAGAGAATGATAAATGATGATGAATAGAAAGAGGAAGATGATGGTGATAATGATAATGATGATGATGATGATGATGATGATGAGGAGGAGGATGATGATGATGATGAAAAGGAGGAGGAGGAGGAGGAGGAGGAATACATTTATATGTTATGGTAGTATTATATTATACATTAATTATGTTGTATATACGTTAATTGTGCGACTATCATGTTTTTAATTAATGTTTGTGCTTGCTAGTTTGAATAGAAAATATTATCAGGAAATATATTAACAGCTATAATCTTATTAGATTAGAAACAATGATATTACCACAATAAAAGAAGTACATTAATTATTTGGGCAGAGCCTCATTTAATTATTTCATTTTGTAGATGGATTGCTACAATATTATACTAGGCGATTTGGTTGGTATTTGTCTTTATCAACTTATTGAAAACTCTAGTGAATTTATGAATCAACTGTTACAATCAGTCTTCTAAAGATTGCTCACAACGGCAGTAACAAATTTGCTGTATGCGATTAAGAAATCGTTAAAGATGAAAAATCTATCTACAACTTTATTTTTTGGTAAGAAAATCATAAATGAAAAGTAGATGATCTTTGATTTCCTGAAGAAAGCGTATGCGTTGGTGGATGATCCTTCAACGGATTCTATTGTCTCATGGGCGTCCAACGGTTGGTCTTTCGTAGTTTGGCAACCGCTGGAGTTTACTAAAGACCTTCTTCCCCGACACTTACAAATCACCCACTTCGCAAAATTTCATACATATGTAAGTCAAGTTTTTTTTTTACATTATACATATATGTATGAATGTACCAATTCAATGAGAAAACTTATCTTGTTACATGTTTTTGTTCTACTTAGGGATTTAGAAAGCTTGTTATATCGTCCGGACAACAATTGAAATTCATATGCAATGATTTTGTGAGAGGCAAGCCTGAGCTTTTGGACAAGATTGCCCAACGCTATATGGCAATGATGAAAGATACGGAACTTTGTAAACTAGATGAAAGACTGGAAAATGACACTTCCAAGGAAGAGTATGATTTAGCCATGAAGGACAAGGAGGAGATGTTTGTCAGGAAGAGCAAGGAGAGAAATGGCAGAATGGCGACAGGGAGGAACTCAACATAATCTTCCAGCGCGACGTCTCGAGGTGCAAGTGTAGCATCTTGGAATCTGAAATATCTATCCTTATGAATAAAATCATGTATCTATCTATCTCTTTTTTATTGCACAACTTTCTTATTTTATCTCTAAACTACGCTACTGTTGTGTTATGGATACTAGTCTCTGGATTTCTTTAGTTGTTCTCTGGCATCTGTTTCATTTGTTCCTCTACACAAACTTTCTTAATCTCGTCTTTTTCGGTCCATCCTTAGAGAATATGTTTCTGTTTTGAATTAATATTAGTTCATGTTCTTCCTTAAGTTCTCTGACACTGAGCTTGAACAACTGTTTCTGATGACCGGAGAGATGCTGCCGAACAAGTAACCGCATGACTGAATCCACATGGCCGCAACAAACAGAAGCCATCTATTGTTGATAAACGATATCACTCTTTCTCGCATCTATTTTTCGGCCTCTGGATTATTCACGATCAACCTTTATTGGTCTGTTGATGATATTAAGATATGTTGTAAAAAATGACCTACAAGCTACAGTGGCAGACATTATTGAATTGCCAAGAAATGGAGAGACTAAAAAAACGAAATCTTGTTCGAAAAATTCTCTGTGAGGCAATTCGTCGAACACCTGGTGACTTACATCGAGATATTTCTGCAAATTTTTGGCCCTCTTTCTTGGCCGGCGAGATGGCCTGTTCCCACTCATGCTGAACAAATCTTCTTCAATCTCGTCTCGAGAAAGAGCAACCCAAAGCCTGTGATTCTCGTTCGTAACCTCACCACCGCCTAATCCAGGAGATTCCGCCGGTATTCCTCTGTGCCTGTTCGATTTCGGCTCCATTCCTCCGCTTGATTTCTGATTCTTCACCTCCGAAACTCCTCCTCCTCCTCCGCCGCCGCCGCCGCCGCAGACCTCCGTCGCGAATACACCGTTTCCTTTTTTCAAACCACCACAAGCTTTCCTCGGCCTTAGATTCCAAGTCCTCTTCGCTTCCTCCTCCTCCGTTTCTTCTCTCTCCTTCACCGACACCGGAACTTCCTCTCTCGTCGGAGAAATCTCATCGGATTTCAGCTTCTTCAGGTAATTGTGCTCTGATGACGGAGCAAAGGAGGAGAAAGAGAGACGCGGCTGACGACTTGACCGTGACGCAACGACACGGTTAGAAACAGCAACCGTCTCCGCCGATTGAGAAGCAGACCTCTCCGACTTGGAATTCGCAGACATTGGGATGATATTATACCAAAATTTATTCACCTGAGAGATGATCAAAAACCCTAGAAAGCAAAAAGCAGAGAGGAGAGAGATAGAGAGATGAAGGAGATTTACGGAAGCTGAGAGCATCTACAATGGTGGCTCATAGTGGGGTTCTTAGCCAAATTATAAAGCAAAATTAAATCTAAAATGGCTAATATACTGAGACTCGCTTCCTAATATGGAACTTTTAGAATTGGTTCTTAAGATGACGTGTCACTTGTGGAAAAAAATTATTCTCGACGCGACTTTCTCTTTCACGACTCTCTCTCTTTCTCGTCTCTCTCAAATCAACCAGACATAGCCGCTGAAAATCCCGACGGCGGAAGACGACGACGTAAGACGACGACGGAGGCGATGAAGAACGAAGAGGCCATTGCAGTAGTGGAGATTCTGTCTCCGATGACCTCAGCCTTTGGGTACACGAGACGTCTAGCCTTCTTCGACCCGTTTTCAGGTGATCTCCCAAAACTCTCTTATCGTGGTCATCGATTCTGAATTTTGTTTCTGAGTTTTGGTTTCCTGGTCACGTTGAAATCATCATGATTGATTAGTAATTCGCTTTAGCTGTGTTTGTAATTCGTTTCTATCCATAGATGTCTTGAGATTGATTAGTAATTCGCTTTAGCTGTGCTTGGTCTCGAGCAAAGAGCTTGCTCTTCTCCGGCTAAGCACCACATCGGAGCGGTATGGCTATTCCGGAGTTCGAATTTTGCTGTTATGGATTCGATATCTTTGTTGAGTTAATTGTTCAAAGTTCAGTATCTATAGATGCTAAGAAGGGTAAACATCGGGAATACGAAAATGAATGCGGTAAGAAATATGTGGTTCCTGATGTGTTTGGAATTACCTTCATTGACCCGTTCTAGCTCATCAATGGTTAGTTGCATTCTCACCAATTGGTAATGGTTTATCTGAAATGGATTATTGTGGCCTTGAGAAACTGGATTGTCTTACATGTTTAAAATGTTTAGTGGATTGAGAGAACACTAAACAGATTATGTGATAAAGCTCTTTTCATGGAATGATTTGATTCTACTTAATCATAGCTTGTGATGCTATCCAATCAGACTCTAGTGTTGTTTCATCTATTTGTAGGTGTTTCAGATTATGTCATAGAGCTTGTTTGTCTGATAGCACAACCTATGCTAATAAGTTAAGTGTTGTTTAGTTTCTTCCATATGTTCCATATGTTCCATATGTTCCATATGTTCACAGTTTTAAAAAGTAAAAAATAGCATGGTGTCAAAGTCTTCTATGCAATTGTCAATTGTTCTGTAGAACTAATAGTTTATATGTGCAGGTCGCTGGAGCCATTGTTGTTTTTGAGGTGCAGAGGAGTTCACGGTCTGAGGCAAGAAAAGAGATACACGGTTTGAAGATTAGTTTTGCCTCATAAAGTGTAGATTTCCTTGTGCTATTCAGGAATAATATTTGTTACCTATTGTTTATTATATTGATATCTGCATTTGCTTAATGGCTTATGGCATCAATCTAATGATCACAAGTTCAAAATTTGGGAAAATTCTTTCGAGGGGAAGATTAAGATGAAGGAATGGCTTTTGAGGCTGTCAAAGATGGTTTTAGAACATTCCTCTCGTTTTGCAATTAGTCTTTTCAAAACAAATGTAAGAATATATATCAATTATAAGAGAACGTTAAGAGAGATTGAACATTTGTGTGTGTATTCTTTGATGGTAAATACACCAAAAACCAAATCCAATTACACCAATAATTTTGTTCCAATACATCAAATTACATACATTTAAAATTTCAAAACCAAATTTTATTGTCAAAAAAAAAAATTCTTAAGAACCAACCTATGAAGAGTCTACCATTGGAGAAGGTTTTTCCTAAGAATTATTAATGGTTCTTAAACATTGCAAAATTCAAAATTTTATAGAAAAAAATGGTAAGAGCTCTTCATGAGGAGTCTACCATTGGAGATGGTCGATGCATGCGTAAGTTTCTAATTATGTTTTATTTGTTTTTCTTTGATTCTTCTTTCTTTACAAAGTCTTTCTTCTCTGAATTTTAATTGTTGTTATTGGACTTTTTCTTACCCATTTTTCCAAGTATTCTTAGACTTCCAATTTACGAAATTTATAAAATATAATATTTATACGTGAATGCTAGGACAAATAAATTATGAAAAAAAAACAAAGAGAGTTAATCGAATTTTCAATGATTTTTTTTTTTGTTATTAGAACGGTGGAATTAATCAAATTTTAAAAATCCTTTTATAGGCTCAAAGATAATCAAATCAAAGTTGCCATGCCATGCCACTTAGAAAGTAAATAACCCATTTTGTTTTTAAAGTATAATTTTATTAAACAACCTTTGACGAGGGTGATTGGAAAAGCGTAGAAATATACCGGGAAACGTTACAAAATAATCAGAAAGCTGTAAAAACTACAACGAAAACTAGAGTCATCAGATTATAGGTGAACCAAAACCAGTTTGAAGATGTGTACAGTACTAAGATGTGGCTAAAGCCGATCAGAGAATATTAGTTAGGCCCAAAATAGTTATACTCACCGTTTTGGCATCGTCTACGCACGAGCATAATAACTATTAAGTAGACGCAACGCAATGATGGCGTCTCAAAGGAAAAACTCAAGAGCAAAAAACATGAACTGATTTCTAAGGTTACCATGTGGGTTTTAAAAATGATTGGGCCTAATGGCACAAAAGCCCATTGAATTCACGTTTCTAATATTCTATAAATAAGTTATAGTGTTTTTGGTTGTTTACAAAGATTCATTCATTAAGAAAAGAAGAAAATACAAAGAGAGAAGGATGAGTGATGCTAAGAGAGAGAAGTCAAGAGACAAGGCTCATGCAAGGAAATTAGCAATTAAGAAACACGGAGAGTTGCAAGAATCTTTGAAGGAGTATGTTGATCTTGTTCATGTAAGTTTTGGTTAATTTTCATTATCGGTGAATTGGTTTTGCTTCCAACAATGTCACCAATATGTAGCACTCACCACTGCAGGTTGCCCAGAGAAATCAGAATAATGGAGAGAACGAAGTAGAGTCTGACATCACGTTCGAAGAAAACACCAAAACTATTGATAATGACATCTTTTTGTTGAATATTTATCTTTTGTATTTTAGTTTAATTGATATCTTATTTTCGAAGATTTCTATTAATGTCATATCTTGATATCTTTCGTGAAAGCTATATCAAAATTTTGAAAATTAATTGGATCCGGTGTTTCTAAAGAGAGAAAATTATTATAGATAAAGTTAGACAATATGAATCTGGTGTTTCTAATGAATGGTACTAGTATATTGGTGTATGATAGAGCTAGCGTCAACAACAATAATCATCTCAACCAAATTTTTTTGAGATAATGCTCGTTTCTAACATGATAAGATTTACCAAAAATAAGAATAGAGATTTTTATCTCTTAAAAGCATTGTAAAATGCCAATGATTTGATAACATTTGATTTGTACTAAAATTGCTTATATTTGTGTAAAGGATTTATCTTTTGTATTTGAAGTTATTTGATATCTTACTGTCAAGGATTCATATTAATGTCATTTCTTTTTATAGAGAATTTATCTTTTGTATTTGAGGTTATTTGATATCTTACTCTCGAGGATTCATCTTAATGACATATTTTGTTGATATCTTTTGTGAAAGCTATATCATAATTTTGGAAATTGGATTCGGTATATCTAAATAAATGAAGCTCTTATAGAAAAATTACTATATTTAACTTGGGTATATCAGAGAAATATTGTAACCTCTCATACTACTTCACCAAAGAAGATAAATAATGAAATAACTTGTTTTGTAAACTAATGGATGAAATATAATGATTATTTGCTGTGCCGAAGAACATGGAGGATTATAATTAACAAAAGATGCAAAACAAATTTAATAAGTGGTTGTAATACTAACATAGACAAAATTAAGAAAACTTTGAGATAAATTTATCGATATCTGTAATAAATTTGATTTTATGATTTAAGCGACCGTTTTGTTATTTATTGAAAAATAAGTGAGGTATAGCTACAAACAAATTAGTATGGATCCGCTTCTTATTTATGAAAAGCTTTTGTTTTACTCAGTCTAGTACCATAAGAAAACACTCATTAACTTGGACATCAACTAGTTTTTGGAGCTCAAGCAAGTGGTAAGAATCGAATTATCCTAACATTTATCATTAAAAGTGTTGATTGTCACATGTCCAATAATGTAATGTAAACATACCAATATGATCATGTCTAAACATTCGATTCTTATGAATAGTTTAGGTAGAAAGTTTAGGATAGAAACCGAAAAGAATTCGATTAGAATTGGTTCGGTTGAACAAATAAACAAAAACGAGACAAAGTAGTTCAACTAACACCATTATTAATCTTACATGAAATATGATTCTCGTCAATTTTTCCTTAGGAATTGAAAATGATAATCGGCAAATAAGATTCTCATAAACAATTGTAATTTTAAATATCTTCAAATTTTTATTTTAAATGTTGATATGGTGTTAGTAAAGTGATGGTAATTTGGGTGTTTTACCTTTCTAAGATACTTAAGTAGCAAATGAACTAAAAAACTGCCTATTCTTCAAATAAACTTTTGAAAACCTAATGTGTTAATTTTCGCTTAAATTTTCTAACAAAACCAAATAATAAAATTACGAAACAAATTTGAATAATCTTCTATTAATTATTATTAATAATTTTTTTTTGAATATGGTCAACAAATTGTTTGAACCGACTCTCATAGAATCCTGTGAAATTGTGACTTGTCACAACTAACAAATGTCACTAACAATATTATATTCTAGAAATATCACCATAAGAAAAAAATTCTGATCTTAATAGCAAAGAGATGTTCTATATTTCATACAAAATTGTTTTAAACCAAAACATAATAAATTGTGCTAATATATTGTTGTATGATAGAACGGAAACAATAATAATCAGCTCAACCAAATGATTCTTTACAAGAATTTTTGTTTGGGACTTGTCAGCTCAACTGAAAATTCGAGAAACTCTTTATTCGTAACATGATTGTTGAAACTTGTTAAAATTTCTGAAGATCTGTAAAATAGAAGAATAGAAGCATTATAAAATGTAAAATACTAGTGGTTTGATATCCTTTAATCCCATATGAAGATGTACTAAATTTGCTTAATCTTTTAGGAATCATACTATACTATAGTTTTAACATTAAACCATTGTTAATTTATGTGTTCGATTTTGGACTAAGATGTAGCTAAAGCCCATCAAAGAATATTAGTTAGGCCCAAAACAGTGATACAGAGCGTTGTGGCATCGTCTACACACGAGCAAAACTAGACGCAATGATGGCGTCTCAAAAACCTCACGCAAAAAACATGAACAACTTCTTCAATCCCAGTAGACCAAGCCCGCGTCCATGGCCGAACAGGAAGAAGCAAACCAACAAATCTGCCATTTTCATTTGCTCCGTTTCTCTACTTGTTGTTTTCTTCGTCGTCGTCGTCTTCTTCATCACTTACTCCGAGATGCCCAAGTCCTTGTTCTCAATCTCTGCCTTTTCTGGATCCGTTCAATTCCCTCAGTGCAGATCCGAGATACTAACCCGAACTCTTCTAGGTCAGAAGTTTCTCTGGTACGCTCCTCATAGTGGATTCAGTAATCAGCTATCGGAATTTAAGAATGCGGTTTTAATGGCGGGAATTCTTAATCGGACCCTAATTATTCCTCCGATTCTGGATCATCACGCCGTCGCTCTCGGTAGCTGTCCTAAATTTAGGGTTTTGAGCCCCAGCGAGATACGAATCTCAGTTTGGAATCATTCAATTGAGCTTCTTAGGACTGATAGGTACAAAATCTCTTTTTTAGTAATGGGTTTTAGTTAAATTAATCATTGTGGCTGAAGAATTTTGGTGTTTATAGGTACGTTTCGATGGCTGATATTGTAGACATTTCGTCGCTGGTATCTTCTTCGGCTGTTCGAGTCATTGATTTTAGGTACTTTGCATCACTACTGTGTGGTGTTGACTTGGAGACTCTATGCTCTGATGATTTAGCTGAACAGTCTCAGGCTTATGAATCACTGAAACAGTGTGGTTATTTGTTATCTGGAGTTCGTGGCAATGTGGATAAATGTTTGTATGCTGTGGATGAAGATTGTAGAACCACAGTTTGGACTTATAAAAACGGAGA